AGCCCTGGCTGCAACCACATCAAAGTTCCCAAGCCAGGATCACACAGCTAAAGCACTTGTAGATTCCTTACCATAGGAAGGATGATGCTTATCATTTTAATCCACTTTGCTTTGGGAAAATTTATATTAATAGATAACACTGAGATACCATCCAAGGAAGAAGTTAGCCTTGGAGATAAAGGAAAAGATGGATGCTCTAAAACTGAAGCCTAGGGATGAGAAAAAGTGCAAGTTTCATGACCAGTTTTTCTTGGGAATAAGAGACACAGTCATCTGCTTAAGGTAGGAGTGGGAGATAGATTACAAAGTTAAGGAGAACAATAAGAAGGATGGAATGGTCACTAGGTAAATCTGAAAAAGCCAAACAGGAAAGGGTGCCTGAGCTAAGAAATCATATGGCATTTTCATGTGATTTTCCCATCACTGGGCTTGATAAACTAGAAGACGTGGAGCAAGGGGCAGTGGGGTTCACCTGACTTGGAAATTGGTGAAGCCGATGCAGTAGATAGCAGAAGCATGGGGTCATGGGAACTCAGGGTGCTGATTTAGGCCAGTGAAGTGCCTGATGATGGAGTCCAAGCTGGTAGACAGGGGAATGTATCCAGAGGAAACTCCAGAGCCTGGGAAATGAGAGGTTCAGGGCAGGATGTAGAGAAGCCAACAGCAGCAGTGAGAAATCAGACGTCACAGGTTATGGTCGCTGCTATTAACAAGCTGTGTAGCCTCAGCAAGATGAGAATTCTATGGGATGTTTTTCCTCCACCCTGGGTCTGAGTTAAAAGGACGACTAAGAACTGTGGCTTGCCTATAGTGAGCACTCTATTTTAGCAATAATTCTAAAATATTTAAAAACTATGTAGTATTTAGAATGCACCTAAGTAGGGCCTCCCCGGTAGCGCAGCGGTTGAGTGCTGGGTTGCGAAGCTGCCCTCAGCCTCTGCAGCGCCGTTCGATCCCCAGCCACGGTGAGGGTCCCACATGGCGTGCAGACCTCTCCTGCCGCCCGCTGCTCCCCTCAGCAGTGTACTTCGGTCCTTCTGCCTGCTCTGCTCTCCCCTCTGGCTCTGGTGAATTCTCTCACCCTCCCGCACTTCTGACTGTACCCAGTGCTTGTATAAATAAATAAACAAATCTTTAAAAAAAAAATAAAATGCACCTAAGTAGCATACTAAAATAAACACCAGGGACCACCACCCAACTTATTAAACAGAACATTATTAATATATTGTGCTTTTTCCTGATTCTTCCCGTGGTTTCTCCCCTAGGGGTAACCATTATCTTGATTTTTGTGTTTGCCATTCTCTTTCACCCTAAAAAAGTCATGTTCCAGATCTGTACACCGTCTGTTTGTTCATATGGAAGATGAAGCTTTGGATTAAGGTGCTCTCTGAACTCCTTCCAGCTCTCAGAGCATATGAGGCATAATAGGTGGATATCAAAGCTCCAGACCATATCATAAACCATATCAATGCTTATTTTTCAAAGGTCTTATGAAGCTAAAGCATTGACTCACTTGAAATCTCCAATTCAACAGAAGGATATCTCAATGGAGCTTGCTAATCTCAAGAGCAAGACCTTCCATCACTTTCAATTTGCACCTATGCTATAAAGTTCTCCTCCAGAGAAAACCAGCACAGGAGGTAAATAATCCAAGTCCCTGACCCTGTCCGATGAAAACATTGACCCCAAGCTTGAGGAAAGAGAACTGAAACAGATACACTGGCAAAGCATACTTTATTTCAGTGACAAGTATTTCAATAAAAATTAAAAGGCATGGGGCCTCCCTGGTGGCGCAGCGGTTTGAGCGCTGCGCTGTGAAGCTGTCCGTAGCCTCTGTAGCACTGATTCGATTCCCAGCCGGCCAGGGAAAAACCCACATGGTGTGGCAGACCTCTCCTGCCTTGCCCGCTGCTCCCCTCAGCAGCGTCTTCGGTCCATCTGCCTGTTCTGTTCCCCGCTCTGTGGTGAATTCTCTCACACTCCTGTGCCTCTGACCTGTACCCCAGTTATTGTATAAATAAAAATAAATCTTAAAAAATATTAAAAGGCATGGTTGGGTTCATAGCAGATTTTCATATAACCGGATTTATTTCCTCCATGTATATATTTACACTAATATAAAACAAAACAACTAACTTTTCTTCACATTTCCTCAAAGGCTCTTACACTATTTTAGTTTCATATAAAACAGTCTTTGAAGAGGGTAAACAAATGCAAATCTGCTGACCATATGGTCGTTCTCCGGAGGTACTGTCTGGCCTAAGATGCTCTTCCTAGCTATAAACAATCTTAGGTTTCATATTTGTCTCGGTTAGCAAGTTTATGAGTTTTAAGAGCGTTGAACCAGGCAGTGAAATTGCTGTATGGAGGGCAAATGCCCTCTTACAGACCTCGGCCTCTTTAGCCAGTAAAGTAGGATGGGAATATATTCAGAACCTTAGCAATGAAAATAGTGATCAAAAGCAGCAGCAGCCACTACTGTATCTTTCTCATTCTTTCCATTGAATGGGCACAAGAAAATGAGTATTTTCATAAAGGTCTCTTCTCCCCAAGGCCACTCATGCTTTGGTCATTTAAATTATACAAATCTTTCATAACTTGCCCCTTTGAAAATGGTAATAACAAATACAAGGTTATCACCCTCAGTTTCTGCCTACTTTGGACCTTAATACAATCTGTCCAATTAAAGGACTCTGAGCAGCACAGGTGTATTCGCCTTGTGTAGGAGACTCACCTAGGCAGGGACTGCTCTGCCTCGCCAATGAAAGGGCAACTGCAGTGCATTACTGGAAATTAAATCCACTTTCTCCCTGTTTAGCTCAGTTACAGCTACCAGAAGAGCTGAGCATCATTTATTACCTATATTTGCTTATTTCTGGTAAGAATATTTGCAAATTACAATGGTACATCTAGAAGCCATACAGAGTAAGAGAATCTTCCAGAATGCGAACCCTTTTCTTGGGGTAGAGTATGGAAACCCTGCGTAAGATCAACTTACAGGGGCTCAAGGGCTCTCTGGGCTAAACTTTTGAAATGTCTCTATTTAGGCTTTTAACCTTGACACTTGACTTTGACATGAAGGTAAAATATTCAATTGTTTTACCTCCCTTTATTTACATTCCAGAGAAGGGTACTTGCTGAAAAAGAGGGGCTCAAAGATAAGTAAGCTTCTCTTCCTGACTTCTGACAGTAGTAGTCAGTCATTCCTTGGTTCTAGTTTTTGGGAATTTTCAAAAAATTTCCCAGCAAACAATCCAGACCAGTGAATTCTAGGCCCAATAAAAATCCTAAGCAGTTTCTGAAAGCTCCTAAACTAGGCAAATCGGCTGCTTTAAACCGATTTAAACTGATTTCTTTGTTCACCAAAGAAACAACAAGTCTGTCTACTTTGTGAGCTAACTAAATTAACACAGGCTGGCATTCTCCTACAGCGAGTGCCACTCGCTTGCCAAGAGGACAATTGTGTCCTAATAGTCAGGAGCCAAGAAGTTGCCTAACAAAGTAAGGTTCTTTAGTTTTTCATGAATGATAGCTATTAGTCTAGGTCACTCCTTTAGATATTTAAAAACAGAAAGTAACTATTTTCTATTTAATTCCTTTGTTAAATTGTGTTAAAGTGGCTAATTCTGTGCACTGAGACCCATAGCTCTGCTCTTCTTAGGAGTTCTGGTTATAAGTGTAGCATAGAGTTTTGTTCTGTCATCAAACAAAAGAGACCAAAAATGTTTTTTTTTTTTTCCAGCAATAAGACTATAAAATCAAGTTGTCATGAGGTACTGATTGATACGCAAACATAAAACTACCAGAACTAGGGGCATGAAGGATATTTTTCCATCTCTACCTTTTCCAGAAGAAAAGGCTCAGGTGTCCACTCTAGACCACACAGCCAGAAGGCAGGCCATGCTACTCGGGCTTATCTTGAACCTGTTTTTAGAGACAGGAAGAGAGTGCTCTGCTTCATTAGGGCAGAATCCTGTTTGGTGTGAAACTTGTGGAAGGCGTTTTCTATAAAAGCCCATCCCGCTTATCTGTCATTTGCACACAATGCTAGAGAGAGCATTTTTAGGAATACTTGTAAGTATGCTTTATCCAGGTTACTATCTATACTAGACCCCAGACTCCTTTCCATGCCAGACATTTCTAAACATCAAACCAAACTTAAAAACCACCACACAAAGAAGAAAATAAAAATACAACAAACAAAAAATTGGTCTGGGAGATTATGAAGTCTCCTTGTAAGGGGCAATAAGACACTAAGGTAGCCAAGACCTTGGGTATTTCAGAAATCAACTTACTATCCATACATCCCAGGGCAGTGAGCGGGGGCCGTCACACACTTTAGCTTTTTTTTTTTTTTTTTATAAAGAGGCATGTTTTATTTATTTGTTTGTTTGTTTTTGTTTATACAAGCACTGGGTACAGTCAGAAGCACGGGAGGGTGAGAGAATTCACCAGAGCCAGAGCAGGGAGCAGAGCAGGCAGAAGGACCGAAGCACACTGCTGAGGGGAGCAGCGGGCGGCAGGAGAGGTCTGCGCGCCATGTGGGACCCTCCTCCGGTGGCCGGGGAGCAGCCGGGGATTGAACCAGTGCTGCAGACGCTGCGGGCAGCTTCGCAACCCAGCGCTCAACCGCTGCGCCACCAGGGAGGCCCCACACACTTTAGCTTTGACGCGGAATCAACTTTCACACACAGGTGGAAAGCCTGTCATCTCCACATATACACTGGTTCCCCTTCGTTCCAACATAATACATAATCCACACCTAGGTTGATAGCTAGTGTAATTTCTAGCTGGAGTGTGGAGAGAAAATAAAGCTATCCCAGGGTAGACATCTTCAGGTAGCAAGATGTCCTAAAGATTCTAAACAAGACTGGGGTATTTTTCTATATAACTGCTATCAACATCTTGGAGACTGGATAAACAGAAGCACTGATCAAAAAAGGTTCATTCTTATAATGGAAAAACGAATTTGGTTCATAGGTATGAGAACACACACACACACATAGTTACTTTTTCCAACCCGAGTTTCTTGCCTGCTTTAGCTAGGTCTTGTGAGATAACTTTAAGTGATGACGTTTCAGTAATGTTGAATGGAATGTGATAATTTCTGAGGTTGGGGCTGCAGGTAGGTAACCAAACTAATTAACTACATTGATGGTTTATTCAGAACAGTTCTTCTGAGTATCAGGGTTCTTTCTTGAATCAAATGAATCAAAGGGGGTAGAAAACAAAAGCAGTTGTCAGTTTGATAATCAGTTTATCTTTATAATGAGATTAGGAGAAAAATGGAGAACCCAGTGGTAGCAGGAAGAATCTTCTAGGGTCTGGCATCTACAAGGAAAGGAGAAAAAGAAGGAATTTTTAGTTCCTCTCAGTGACAAAAGCACCAGCTAGATCCGACAATGGGTCACATAACTATATTCCAATTACAATCTCTTGGCCTGCTGGAGGCATCTGTTGTTAATGGCACACCACCAAGTGCCCTCTGACCCTTCACTCTTTAGTACTACTGAACACTCAGAAACTTGTTAATTGAATTAAAAACATTCTATACAGAGATCAATGTACACTTCTTGTGTCAACAGTTTCACAAGGGAGGAGATAATCAGAACTGACTATGCCGGAACTAACTCCTCCAGACAATTCTGGATTAATTCCAAAGAACTTGTATTCATCTCTTTTTCATATTCTCTATTTTCTGATTAACTCAACAATAGTTTTTGAGCTTTTACAATGTATATTAGGGGAAAAATTAATATGATATAACTTGTTTTTGAGACACTTATCTAAAAAAAACAAGTGGGATAAAAAAACATATTAAGGGCTAAGTAAACAAACCCCTTTCATGTATCGATATTAGGATTCAAAAAAGTCTCCATCCACACGAAAGCTGGTTAAGGGAGTAAGTCATGTCTTTCATTTCTTTTGTATTCTTCCAAAGAAGTTAGATATTTTTGCAACAGATATTCAAAAAATGGCATATTTATGTGATTTTTCCATTGCTACGCTTGATAAACTCGAAGAGATGGAGTTAAGCGTGGCAGATTTCACCTGACTTGTAAGTTGGAGGAGCCAATTCAGTAGCGACAGAAGCAGCATGGGGTCAAGAGACTCTTTTTGTTGAAAGAATAAGGTCTGTGGTTATTTAAGGACTCTTATCTAATCTAGGATATCTGTCTGTCTCCCTCTCATCCCATTCCTTGGGTGTTATACACAGAAATAAAATTTTAGCATGTAAGGAGATGAACAGCCAAGAGTTAAGTTCCAAAGGAGAGATGTGTCTAGTCTCAAGTGGTAGAGAGAGTTACTCCCAGGCTTTTGCCTTAATCATTTATTAGGTGGCCATACATATGTATGAGCACCAGCATCTCGTGCAGTGGATCAGAGTGGGATTCAAAGGTCACAATTCATCCAGATCCATGTGTACTTTCCTGCGATATCCCAGCAGTTCTGTGTCTATTTTTCTCCTGGGGACAAATTCAGTGTTCTGGCTTCGAGATCCATTTAACAATTTGACATCATAACCAACCAAGGAAAATTGCTGGTATCTAGAAGCAACTGATAATTACTATTTTCCAGGGTTATAGGGCGTTTGCTTTAAGAGTCTCTTTTCTGCTTCTCACTAGAAGAAACAGAATTTTGGTCCAAAACAAACCCTAACTCACAGATCCATCTGCTTCACTGCCCAAAGAAGTGAGTGGACTGGAAGGCAACAGACCAATTATTCGCTGGAAAATATTTGCTGAGGGTCTATTGTCTCCAAGACAGTGGGGATATAATCCCATTCCCAATCTTTATAATATCCCTTCTCCCACGAGTAATGTGGCTGGGTAACCTCTGTCAAGACAGTATTTGAAGCATCAAACGTGGCTCTGCTATTGGCACAGAAGGTAACCTCAAGGAAAGACTTCATGTATGAAAAGTGAAAGATTTTGGTCTCTTTGTATAGGTTTTGTGAGGTTCTGCTAAATCAAATATTCAGATAAGACCAACAGCGCAAGACTTTTTAGAAACCCAAAACTTTTAAGTGCTCATTAAAGAGTATGAATTTTTTGATGAGTGTTAAACTGTACTGCACAGGGAAAGAATTGCAGAGCAGTGAAGCACAGCTGTCTGATTAATCTCAGTCCATTAAAGAGACTTGATAGATCTAGAATGCAACTTTGAAAAAAAAAAAAAAAAAAGAAAAAGGCAATGTGCACTAACGTTAGGAAAGCAACTTGGCATGTTAACAGAATTCTAATTTAACCAGTAAATGCCTATTCATTAGTGTGCAAAGCCATAACAAAGGCTATAAACTTAAAAAAACACATGCACACACAAAGCTTTAATTTGGTAACATAATCTGAAAGAAAATTGGACCCAAATTGCTTTATGTCCAGTTAAATCTTGCTACCATCTGAACAGAGAGTGAAATAAAACAAACACTTACTTGATGAGATAGATATTCAGTTACTGTGCATTTCCATCTACAGAGCAGAAATATTTCAAAATAAATACAGCATGTCAAGTGAAATTCACTCCATCCCCTAATTTTACTAAACACAAATGACTTATTCCTGGGGTACATACTGAATTATAATATAAAGGTAGGAGAATTTAAAATTAGTGTGACTGGATTCTATTCAAGAGCATGGGGAAAGAAAACAATGCTTTACCTATCAAGCTTCTTGAGAATTTTTCCTTTTTGGGGAAATACAAGTATTTAAAGGGAATCCTCAAGATACCTAAAAATTAGCTCCAACAGACTGAAATCAAGAGAATCTGAACAGGGAGGCAACACTGGGAAAAGTACAGAATGAAGAAAAAAAAAAAAAAAAAGGCAGGATCTGGATGGTCCATATGTGGGGATTTCCTGCCCAGGGTGGTCTGAGAATGAATTTAGGGCCTGTTTACATAGCAGTGGCTCTGATGCCCAGGGAGGACATTCGAACACTGTTCTTTATGCTGCTTCTTATGACTTATTAGTTTCATTTTCTTTACCTATTTCCTTTTAAATCTCTGCACTCCCATTTCTTATTTTTTTTTGAGATAACACTAGTTTACAACACTATATAGAGGTATAGGGTCACACCTCTTCAATGTGTATTTTACCACACCACCCCCACAACTAAAACACCAATAATCCTGCACCCCAGTCCACTGGGCTCCCTCTACCTACTGCTCTCCTCTCTCCCACTCTGGTACTCTCTGCAGTCAGATTCTAAGGGTTTGTTTTGGCTTTGTCTGTTCCTTTGCTTTGTTTCTTTACAGTCCATATGTGAGTGAAAGCATGCAGTATTTCTCTTTCTCCTTCTGACTTATTTCATTTGCCTGCAATCCAATTTCTAATCTCAGTTCCCTAGAGATTTATGCCTTGAAACGGAGGATGATGACATCCTCCTAGCCAAAGTCATTAACCTTTTTATGGGCCCCCAAATTTACGCATAGTGTTTGAAGTCAGTGATCACCCCATCATTTAAATATTCTTTCGGCTGCTTCTGTGATTTTGTACTTTCTTAGTCCTAGTTTCCATTTACCAAACAGGACTAGGGCTAAGATGGAGGGAGTGAGGTAGAGGGCAAAATTTAAGGAGGCACTCACTGTTAGGGTCACATGAGTATGACATATTCAGACTGAAGAAGTCTGGATAATCAAGACCAACCTGTATTTGGCTAAAGGTACACAGCAAAGGGTAAAAGCATTTGGCCTATTTTACTCTATTTTACTCACTGTTTTTCCACGGCAGAACATACGGCAGAGACTTGGGAACACGCATGCCTGAAGCCAGGTTACTTTTATGTTCCATAACGATGTTGTTTGCAGGGCTGCACGAAGAAAGACAAATTTGACTATGGCAGCATATCTTTATTCTTCAGACAGGCATACAAAGACAATCAAAATGTGTTTTCGACAATTTGGAAGCAAACAACCACCTTACATTCTGAAGTGTAAACACATTTCCATCAAAACAATCTTGCAATTAGAATGATTACCACTTCTCGGGAAAGCTCACTGTTCTACAGAGGCATTACGATGGGGCTAACCACTTTCATTTTCTAGAAATTGAGATAAACAGCAATGCCATCTACTGTTCAGTCATATGACAGGCTTATCAACTCACTCAATAAATGTAACAGAAAATAAAATGCCAAGACAACCAAACTAACAAATCTCATAGAATGGAGATGAAATTAAAATTGTACCAATGGAATTCATCTTTAAATTTTTCTACTTTGGTGCTCACACAAAATAACTTACAATGACTAACTGACCTCAGGAACTATGAGATAAAAATTGATCAACATTCTCTGGGGAAAAAATGTTATTTAGCATCTCCTACTCTCAATTTTCTAATGCAGAAATATTCTCACTTGGGCTTGAAACTTGAGTTTTTAAGATCTTCTAAAATTCAAGTTGTAAAGAGAAATCTTATAGTTTTAAAAGTAGATACAAAATCAGTGGGAAGAAGAGATGTATTTTCTTCCCTGCCCAAAAGGTATTTGGAATCCTCTAATTTCAAATCAAGAATTCTTAAGATTACTTTGTCTTCAGATCCTACCTACCCAGAGTTAAAATGATTCATGTAGTATAGATGGAGAATTTTTTCAAAGTATTAAAATAGCAAAAAACCCAAGCAAGACTTAAGAAAGTCTGGCACCACGGTCTGCCTTGCTAGACTAATAAGCTAGTATTTTTGTGTTCCCACAGTGATTAACACAGTGTATGACTTTTTTATGAATGAAAAAATAAAGGTTAAAAAAATCCTCTGAAACAGTATCTAGTAGTAGTTTTTTTTTTTAAGATTTCTTTATTTATGCATACAAGAGCTGGGAAGCAGGCCAGAGGAGTGGGAGGGTGAGAGGATTCACCAGAAACAGAGTGGGGAGCAGAACAGGCAGATCTACTGAAATACACTGTTGAGGGGCACAGTGGGAAAGATAGGAGAGGTCTGCTGCACCATGTGGGTCACCCCCCTGGCCGGGGATTGAACTCGTGCTGCGGCAGCTGTGGCAGGCTTCGTAGTGCTGCGTCTTAACCCCCTGCGCCACCAGGGATGCCCCACCACTGAGTAGTATTAAGAAAAGAGGTCAGTTCATGCTTGGGTGGCTTTTTTAAGTAACAGAGCACTTTGACTTTGAAAGGCAGTACTGGCAAGGAGACCATTTCATTTACCTGTTGTTACCACAGTAGTTGGTTGTGCCCCAAACAAATGGGGTGCTGGTCTGTTCCCACAAATCTGCCAAAAGAAGAAAAACAAAGTTGGTGGTAAGACACTAGTTCCTGCTAGTTGAATCTGTGATAATATACCTAAGTTTGGAGAACTGATCAAGTGCCCTGCCTAAACAACACAGTAGCAGGAATTTAATTGAAAGATATAAACACAAGCAACATAAATAATAATAAACGTGCCCAGTAACAACCAAACACAGATGGCACAACACAATTTATGGGAAAAAACAGATGCAGAGAAGTGCTTTATCCAATCAAGAGGGATGGGCTGTTCCGTGTGTCTGCACAGCGATACAAATGTGCTCGTCTGGGGGCCCAATAAAAATAATAAGGCATTCTGATCAACATGGCATGCTCAGAAAGAAGGAAAACCTTCCGTCTGTCTTAAGCAAATGACTTGAGATTTAGACACTGAAGGAAAAACTGCAGAGGGGCTTCACCTTTATCCCAGTCTTCGTCACAAGGGGGGCACTGCCATGTGCTCTCGGCCAGGGTCTCTTGTCCCAGGTTCCTAGTCTGGTTGACTGCAATAAGAAGGGGACATCACCAATCGATGTTTAAAGGAGTTAAGAGTTTTTATAAGGCTGCAGGAGAGCAACCTGTTTCTGAAAAAATGATTGTATTAAAGCTAGAGAGGGGTCTTATCACCTTTTTTTTTTAAAGATTTATTTATTTATTTATACATGCACTGGGTACAGTCAGAAGCGAGGGTGAGAGAATTCACCAGAGCCAGAGCGGGGAACAGAACAGGCAGAGTGATGAAATACACTGCTGAGGGGAGCAGCGGGCGGCAGGAGAGGTCTGCGCGCCATGTGGGACCCTCGCCCGGTGGCCGGGGGATCGAACCGGCACTTTAGAAGCTGCGGGCAGCTTTGCAACCCAGTGCTCAACCGCTGCGCCACCGGGGAGACCCTGGGGGGTCTTATTTCTTTACCGACAGAAGAAAGAAAAGCAGAAACAAAGATGTTTACTATATTTATGACAATGAAAGGATTTTTATTTTTAGATGACTTCCTAGTACCATGAATCAAACAGCTGGGAAGGGAAAGCAATCCGACAGACACGACCTGACAATCTTTTGCTGCTGAGATAAAAATCTCAAAGGCAGAAAAATATTGTTCTTTTGAAAGGATGAAAGCCGAAAATCCAGGCGACGATGCAGCATAATAAAAATGTGAAGAGGCCGGCCTCCCGCACTGAGACATCTAGCTACTCAGTCTTACCAACATCCTGCTCAATACAACTTTTGTCGTCACAGCTTGAGATATGATGACTGATTTCGGCCCGAGGAACCTGGTGGCGAGCATTGAAGGGACAAGTAGCCAATTTGTTTGCGACATCAGGATGATTCTGTGGAACAAAAATTAAGGGGTCTGTCAGTTTTTTGGCGTCTATTAAGTTCAGGGTGAGTGGCTCATCTTGATTTTATAAATGGCTCCCCTAAAATCTCTCAATAAACTTGTGGCATAACTAAGATAGGTAAACTCACAGTAGAAAATTAAGAGATTGATGGCTCAATAAGATCACATAGACATGATGACAAAATCATCAAAATGCAAGCCTCTTTGTTATGATTGTAGAGACTGACATCACAGATACCAGGTTAAAATGGCTTACATGGAGCTCCACAGTGAATTTAGAATTTGGCACTTGAACCGTATTTCCTCCTCCTGTTTATTTCTCAGGATCACAAGATTCAGGCGGCACCTGGACTGGTAGAGCTCTCTGGCTGTGTTTAAAAGCTGATGTTCAGGATGAATAGCAACACTAAAACACACTCAGCCTGCACTGCGGCAGTCCCCAGCGACTGCAATGCCACAGTGCCAGCAAGGCTGGAAGGGCGCTGCAGGAGAGGCAAACCGAGGATTTCTCCGACTAACGCAGGAATGTTTATTTGACGTAATGATGCCTGAAATGAGGCTCTGAACAATATGACCTTTATCTCTGCTATCTCACCAAGAAAAAGCCCAAATGATAGTCTACTCTGCTGACGAAGTTCCTTATTTTAAAACAAGAAAGCAAAAGAAAAGTGTTCTGGTAAATATACCAACAATTAAGAAACATTAGGAGAAGCAAAAGATGTATCATAAAATATATGTCAAAAAGTAAAACTGATTTAAAGTGGGCAGAAGGCTAGGGAAAAACAGGGGATGGAGAAAACTGGGAGGCATTTATCTTCTTGATTTTCATAAGGGATATCAGGTAGCCAATGCAAAGGTTTTGTGGCCAAAGAACATCAGAGGAGGGGTTGAGGTCTCAGTGCTATCAAGCTATTTCCAGGCATTCCAGTTTGATCCCTGGCCAGGGAGCTGACCCACATGGCGCAGCAGACCTCTCCAGTCTTGCCCGCTGCTTCCCTCAGCAGTGTATTTCAGTAGATCCGCCTGTTCTGCTCCCCCCTTTGTCTCTGGTGAATTCTCTTACCCACCCCCCCTCCACTTCTGGCCTACACCCCAGTTCTTGTTGCATATATAAATAAAAATCTTTAAAAAATATAAAAGGCCTCCCTGGTGGCGCAAGGGGTTAAGAACCGCACTGTGAAGCAATCCCGGGCCTCTGTAGCAGGAGTTCGATCCCCGACCGGCCAGGGAGAAACTCACATGGCGAAGCCAACCGCTCCTGTCTTGCCTGCTGCTCCCCTCAGCAGTGTATTTCAGTCAGTCTGCCTATTCTGTTCCCCACTGTCTCTGGTGAATCCTCTCACCTCCCGCACATCTGGCCTGTACCCTAGCTCTTGTATGCATAAATAAATCAATCTTAAAAAAAAAAATAAAAAGGGCTAGAGAAATAACCAACAATGGTACTACAGCCATATCTCCAGAACTGCAAGAGAAAAATACATGATGCTCACACATACATGAATTGAATCTAGTTTGGATTAAATGCCAAAATGATTTTTAAGCATAAATCCTGGCAGAACTTTGGTCTTTGTAGCTGACACTGCATTCTAATAATCCTTTCAAAGTGCCTTAATCAAAGCAGTTAATATCAGCTATGTCCACAAAAGTGAGCAGAGAAAAAAACAAAACAAAACTGATGAGGTTTATTTTTCTCCCCCCTCACGTGGCTTACTGTTGAGATAGTTATTCTTAGGAATAATTTTTTTCTTGGGCTAAGCTCTAGTTGTTCAACTTCTCTAAAGTTTCCGAACAAAAATCAGAAATATGTGTATTACAGCATTCAATCTTCATCAGGACAACGAACACATCAAATTTGCAAGGCAAGAGAGATTTCTCACTGTTAGCAAAAATCAGTGCTTCCTCTCGTACAAAGGGTGCGAAAACTCCAAAGAAACTGTTTATAAAGGACGCTATGTCACTACATAGGGGGAGAAAAACAAAACAAGAAAAACAACAACAAAGGTAGCTAAGAAATAAACTCCCCAAAGAAAGATTGCTAAAAATAGTTCAGCACTCAGTTAAAACATTTATGCAGAAATGATTTTAAATCAAGAAAATGTGGCTTCTTAAAAAACTCAGGAGGCATTACAGGGCAATTTATGAAAACAATACCCTACCTTTCTGCACTTGATAAGATGATAAGGAAACCTGCAGGCCCTGATCTGGTGATTTTTATCATAGGGGCATTGTAATAGCTTCTCAGGGTCCAGGGAATCGACTGAAAGAAAAAAACAATGTAGGTATTAAGTTTAACAGGCCCTTGTAAAACTACTGTATTCCGGGCATAATGTATTTTTTACAGAATCTGTAATAATAGAACAAGACAGTCCAATGACAACTTGGAATTTAAAAAAAGCTGACTATAAGTTTGAAAATGAAAATGGAACTGAGAAGATAAAACAGTGTAACTACCAAAGCTTTGTAAATCCAACAAAACAGCAATCATGGAAGGGGGGTCTAAGTTCAAATTTGGATGTACATAAATAATTTTGATTGTTGATTACCCTTATCATAAAACACAAAGTTAATGAAATCCATCCTCATTCCTTTTCTAAAAATGCTAATGTAGGGTGAGTCCTATCTCTACTTAGCCCAACCAGGTTTCCCGAACAGTATGCTGAAGTTTGTAATGAATGGTGTGCTAATATATTGGTGGGCTGGGGTGGGGGTGTGAGGGTGTCACTGCACATGTGCCCCCTCCCCCATACTGGTCCTTTTTTCAAGTTGAAGGTAGTTAAATTTGTATATAGTATGCCATGACATATAAAAAGCTGGTAAGCCCTGCTCCATTTCAATTATATGCTCTATGGAAGCTTGAAAAATATTGGGGCCTCCCCTGGTGGCACAGCGGTTGAGTGCTGGGCTCCGAGGCTGCCCACAGCCTCTGCAGTTCCAGTTTGTTCCCCGGCGGCCAGCAGGGTCCCACCAAAAAAAAAAAAAAAAAAAAAAAAAAAAATTAAAAATTGATACATTTCTTTCTCATCTGTCTGCTTTAACTTACTACTATATGCAGTTCGTGGTCTTGATTTAGTGACCTTTCTGATGAAACCAATTACCTGTAGCAAATAGGTGGTTTTACGTTTTATATTTTGAAACACATATGAGGAAAAATCTAGAATTCTTTAGCGATTACCAAATTAGTTAGCCAGAAAAACAGAATAATCTGCAAAACCATAATCTCTTCAAGTTGAACATATGAAGCTGCTGTGTGAAACAAAATCTCTAACCCACACCAAACTAGTTAAAGTCAGCCTTAGAGGACTACACTTTTAGTATTTCTAGAGCTAGTTACTTCAGAATGTGTAAATACTACCCTTAGACTTTACAAGATTCTACAGTTGAGCCCAAATTTTAATAAGCCTGGGAAGGGAATTAAATGGTTAAGCACAATGAATATGAGGACAGGAGGCAACCTAATTAAATGCTGTTGCCACCACTGAAGGCACTGATAAAAGTGAGCTAAAATATACAATTCACATTTGATAAGAAGCATATAAACCAGGAGACTGCTATGAAAATCAGAAGTCTGTGGGGAAATGAAACCGACAGCTTCACTGGGATAGTGGTAAACATAGAATAAATTGTTAACCATGATCGAGATACAAATGAGCCAGAAAGGTGACTTGAAGGACAGAGGGAATAGGAAGGAAAAGTCTTAGAGGACAGGCTTATTATGCCAACGAGGCTCATCCCAACCAGCAATCTTTTCATATTTCAGAAGCTTTAGGACACCCAGGGAGAGTTTACAGATGAAATTCTTATTAGACACCCAGGGAGAGGTTACAGATGAAATTCTTATTAGTTTTCCTTCATTTAATCCATTCCATCACTAGTAAATATTAGGCCATGTCAGCAGCTGACAGCCCAGATGTACCTTATGATTCACATACATCAGACTGTCCATACAATGACAGATGTCAGAGTTGACAATGATAGTTTCCGACCATAATGTTTTATAAATTGGTGTTTGGTGACAAGTAGGTAGATCAGTTCTAGACTGCTTTTCTAGATTTAAAAAACTTATTTTTTTTAACTAAAAATTTGTGGTGAATGATTGCTGAATCATTGGAGAAATAAGAATTCCTCTTAGCATTTAACATTAGAAACTCAATATACATCAATATTACTATGTATACCATATCACCCCACAAATGAGAAAGAAAACAGGTTACCCCTGTGTCATGAACAGAAGAAATGAAGTTCTAAGAAATTAACACATATCATTTAATAAAAATAAATGTTTACAACAGGTGTGATAGCTGCAGTTTTTTCCAAAGTTGATGGCTTCCCATACCTCTGTAACTATTTAACTTTCAAATGTCTTAGTTTAAATGTGGGCACTTTTCTACATCAGCACCACACAGACACTCCCTCTAATGTTAGAGCTAAAACTATATGTAAGTAATTTATTTTCTAAAAGCAACAAGCAGTACATACTGTAAGTTTCTTCCATGTTGGAAATGAAGGAGTCGAATCCAAGTGCTGGGGGAAAAAAAGCAGTGGTCAGGGAATCAGAAGTGAAATGCAGAGGTAGCCCTAAAAGTAGAGTCAAACTGGAACTGAAGCTTCCCCCAAGATCAATATAAGAATCTCTTCCTCCAAATATTTTCTCCCTTTTATCCTTAAATACTTTGAAGCATTTTAATATTTTTGCCAAATTCACACTCTTGGGATAAATTCTAGGGTTCACAAATAATTAAGAAAAGCCAATTATGACTGCCAATTTAAACTGTATTCAGGTGACAATCTATTTTAAGTAGCATCACAATAGCTTGTAATGTTTACCAACTATTAATACTTGAAAAACTTAACATCAGAGGGGGCAAGTCACCACCACAAGAATGCTGTTATCTCTCGCTCCACTCCCTCCCTGTTCTAGTATTTACATTTCCGGATGAACACAGGAATAGTTTTAAAGTTCTCAACTTGTTGAAAATACAGGGTGGGCAGACTGCCAGTCTTTCTCCCCCTGGGACCTGGAAATGCTGAGGTCTATGTCAGACAGTTTACCCTCAATCCATCTAACATGCCCAGAGATATTTTAGTTTACCATTTCCATGACTTTTCTTAAACATGATCAGGGAGGGGACACACTTTTCCCAGTAACGTTTCACCTCCCTCCTCCCTCTAATCTATGCTAAAATGGATAAACTAGATTATTTAAGTCTGTTCAGTTAATAGTCATTCCTCCTATGCGCTGAGGAGAAACTTCTGAATGTTAGGACTTAAGAATTGTCCATTTTATGGATAACAATCATAACAGAAGAAATCTGTTAACAGAAGCATGGAAAATGAAGAGGAGAAATGGTTTTGTAGATTGAATCCTCTTCTACCAGAAGGAAACCCCAACCCCCCTTGTTTAAACTTATGGGAAAAAATTAAATTTATATAAAACCATCCCTATAGTAAACTTCTGAAAACTGGCCAGCTTTACAGCTCCTGCCTACAGAGCAAGCTCTCCTTTGGCCCCTCATACAATTCCACCCCTCTTCTCCCCCATTCTATGACATAAGCAGCCTTGGAACCTATAAGAAGTACAAGGGATCAGCTGGAACTCTAGTTCCTTAATTTGCTGCTAAGCCCATCTGTTAATAATATTCATTAGTGAAACTTTTAAAAAATATTTTTCACGTCTGGATTAAGAAATCTTAACGTTCCTTTTGACACATTTCACTTGTACAAAGTTACTTTATATTTTTTCATTAAAAATAAAAGCGGGGGCCTCCCTGGTGGTGCAAGGCGTTAAGGCACAACCGATGAAGCTGTCCGCAGCCTCTGTACCACAAGTTCGATCCCCCGACCAGGGAACAACCCACATGGCGCAGCAGACCTCTCCTGACTCACCCGCTGCTCCCCTCAGCTGTGTACTTCGGTCCATCTGCCTGTTCTGTTCCCCGCTCTGTCTCTGGTGAATCCTCTCACCGCCCCCCCCCCACACCTCTGGCCTGTACCCCAGCTCTTATATGCATAAATAAATAAATCTTAAAAAAATAAAAATAAAAGCGGTTTGGAAGAAAGAACCAACTTTTCTGTTCCTTGATTTTCGGCACTTAAGGGGAGTAGTCAGTACCAGATACACCACCTTGTAGGAAGCCAACCTATTCTTTTTGGTGGCAAAAAGGTCTAATTCTAGCAGAGGACGGGCAGCACAAACCACAGCGTCATTATTCAGCCGCACCCATTAGGTATCTTCCACATCAAACTGTTAACAAGAAGTTCTTTACCTTTTCCAGAGCACTAGACCTTGGAGAAATGGATAAACGGGACGCGAAGCAGTCAAGTTTGGGGCTGGGTGTTGTCTGAAGCAACTGGTTAAACAGAGCTGGGGCCTTAGTAAAACAGTGTTTTTCTTTCTTTAAACAAAACATTCAAAGTAGATTTAAGCAATGGGAAGGCATTAACGTAAAAAAAGAGAAAGAGGCCCTAGGGAGGCCCTCGAGGGGGCGAAGCTGCGGCTGTGAACTGCCCCCGGGAGAGAGACTGGACAAGGGCTGAGAACCCACAGGAGGACTCGGGCTCTGGGCAGAAAATGGCGGTATCAGTGGTGAAGAGAACCCGGCACCCTAAAGGTGAGCTGTTAGGAGGCCCTAAGCCAGGTCCGCGATGCCATTCTTACCTCAGTCGACACACGCTCTCCGTACAGTCGCCTCGGCCCCACAACCGCGCCCCAGCAACGCTCACTTCCGGCCTCTGAAGTTGGGGGTGGGGCCTCCACTTCCTGTGACGGAGGCGTCGGCCTTGGCGTGGTGTGGGCAGGGGCTTTGGCTCATGGGCCCCGTTTTTTGGGCCCTTACGACTCTTAAGGCCTCCCATTGCCCCACACCCTAGAACCCCTAGAGCATATTCTCCTTTGGCTGCTAATGATAGTGACCTTGTGTGGGGGGAGCTTGTGCTGCCCTCCCTGGGCTTTGCGGCCGCCATCTTAGAAAGGAGAAGAAAAGCTTCGAAAGGGCAACTTGGGGAGGGAATGGGACAGTTAGCAGTGGATACTGATTGGAAAGAAGCCTTGATTGAGGAAGTTGACTAGGTAGAAAGATAAATTTAGATTTTGAGGGTAGGGAAGAGGTAAATCATAAAGGAAATAGGTAGAACACAAAAAAAAAATCAGGCCTCCCTGGTGGCGCAAGGGGTTAAGCACCACACTATGAGGTGATCCGCAGCCTCTGCAGCACGAGTTTGCTCCCTGGCTGGCCAGGGAGCAACCCACATGGAGCAGCAGACTTGTCATGTCTCCCCCGCTGCTCCCCTCAGCAGTGTGTCTCAGTCAAGTCTGCCTGTTCTGTTCCCCACTCTGTCTCTGTTGAATCCTCTCACCCCCGCATCTCTGGCCTGTACCCCATCTCTTGTATGCATAAATAAATAAATCTTAAAAAAAAAACAAACACTTAAAAAAATCACCAAGGACAAGAATCTCATTTTTGTTTAGCATGCATTGGAGAGGTCCAGCATTTGAAAGTCAGTAGTAGTATCTGAGAATGCTTGTAGGGTGGATACCCTAGTTGGATTAAAGGAAGTTGGAGAGTTGAGGGAAGAACTCGAAAGAGTTGGCAAGGTTAAAGAGGGCTAGGAGGTCATAATGATAATGGAAATCCAACATCTGTTGTGAGCGTTTGTTGTGGAAACACTGATAACAAAAAGAGGGGCGGGGAGTGGTTTTTATCCTCAAGGTGCTTAGAAAAATAGGCTCAAAAGTGATGAAGGGTTCATTGATAATCTAACAGATGACAATGGAGGAAACTGTAAATTGATATAGGAAGAAATCAGTGGGACTTAAAGTGACCTGGAAGGCTTTATGGAGAAAAGGGATTTGTGGTCTTTAAAAGTTAGTTAGAAAAAAAGGAAGATGTTGACATTACAGGTAGAGCTTGTGATATTTTGCTAAACCAAGAAGTGTGATAGATGATACTTATTTTTTTACTACAGTAACATTGGTTTGCACTGTTTGTGTATTGCAAGTGTAGGATCTCTCCCCTCAGGTGTTGTCACCACACTATACCCACCACCAAGACACCTATGGCCCACCACCCTCCCAGCCTTGCTCTCATCATTCTTCTGGTAGCCTCAGTTATATAGTCTAAATAGTAATTTTCGTACTGCCCATGATATAGGAGGCAGTGTGGAGATCAGCTTGAAATATTGGGACTTGGGGAACATTTCAGTTTTCATTTATTCTCTATGTTAAGATGGCTACCACAAAGGCTAGAGCCTAAATATGACTTATGAAAACCTATTTTTTTAAAAAGATTTTATTTATTTATACATACAAGAACTGGGGTACAGGCAAGAGTTGTGGGGGTGTGAGAGGGTTTACCAGAGACAGAGTGGGGAACAGAACAGGCAGATTGACTGAAATACATTGCTGAGGGGAGCAGTGGGGAAGTCAGGAGAGGTCTGCTGCGCCATGTGGGTAGCTCCCTGGCTGGAGATTGAACTCTTTCTGCAGTGGCTGTGACGAGCTTCACAGGTTGCTTCTTAACCCCTTGCGCCACCAGGGAGGTCCAAGGAAAACCCATTCTGACAGCAGGAACTGAATGTAGCTTTAGTGAAAATCGTGGGAATGGGACATTTTATTTTTACATGAATAATTTGTAATTGTAAATTTTTAACAGGGTTTTTTCTTCTTCCTTTTTCAAATCAGCCTTTGGGCTGAAGAGTTCCAATGAAGTCTTTGGTTCATATTAGACCCTAAAAAGAAATGTGTTGATGGAAGCCTGGCGCAAGCATTCTTGTAGCCTGATGGTTCTTAATCTTGTCTGCGTCATCTGGGGAGCTTTTAAGACGTGCTATGCTAACTTCCCATCCAAGACCAATTAATCAAAGAGGGCTGGGCATAGTTATTTTTAAAAAGCAACCCAAATGATTCTAATGTGCAGCCAGGGTTGAGAACCACTGACCTAGGCACTATTTTGAATTTACAAAAGCGCTTTTTTCACCTGGGTGGCCGGGATGACTCTTTTGAAGGAGGAGCAAGCTGTTAAAGTGCTTCTTGGAAGATAATTGCTAAGAAAGAAAGCTTCGTTTCCAGTTTAGCACAATGCATTTTAGAACAAGTGCTGTTTGGTAAATCAGTTTCAGAATATTTTAAAGTAATCTTTATCAGGTCCTAAATTTCTCACAACATCATTCATGCAGATCATTGGAGCCAGTGTGATTTGAAGTGAAAAGTGATTTTTTTCAGGCTTTAAATTGCAGTAATCTGGTGAAATTGTTGACACTGTTACTGTGACCCATAAGTACTGCTCATTCAGACAGCTGCACATGGAAACTTCCGAGGGAGAGCTAAGGCCTTGAGAGGATAGGTAATGGGTTCCAAAATCAGGCTTCACTGCCTTCAGTGATGCCTTGTCAGGGTGACAGGATACACAACTGATAAAGCTATTCCATTTAGTAGCAGTGACATGCCCACCAACTTTCAAAAAACACCAAAACAACCACCCCCCCAAAAAAAATTGTCCAACCCAAACCTGTCTTTCAATGGAGATTTAAAATAAAAATGCAGCACATATCTGTTCTTTCTATTCTTAAATGCTTTGTTCATTCCTTTCCAACCCAGAAAGTTCCTGCTTTATCTGAGATCCCTGTGGAGCTTTCTTTCAGATTGATTTCCCAGCCAGGTTGAATATATTTGAAAATTAAAAAAAAAAAAAAGAGGAGAGACCCAGGCTATTTACACAGGGTCATCTAGTTGGGATTAAGGCCTAAGCAGACTCTGATCCTTGCTGTTTCTATTTATGGACATGCTAGCATTTATCCCTAAATTATAGATTATATTTTTAGAGTTAATAATTATTAGTTAAAGACTGGACAAATGAGACAAAAAAAGAGATCTGTACTGTAATTTAAAAAATGCCAGAAAATTGTTTTCTCAACAACAACAACTTAAAAATTTGTTTTCTCAGTTTTAGGGTTGAAGGAATTCTGTTGTCCTTGAGATTCTTTAGAGACTTTCAATTTTTCAAAAAGCCTGATATAATGTAAGCTTTTGCCGATCAAAAGGCTAAAATATTTATTTGTTTCTGGCTTGAATTTTATTAACTGAGTCCTAGTTCTTTCATCTAATTATAACTTTTGACTGGGAGTTAAGTGAATAATTAAGAATAGGAAAATTACTTAATAGGTGTAGTTGCAAAATATTTCAGAATGAGAGGTCTATGGGGGAGTGTAATAGATGTTTTTGTTGGTGAGGCTAGATTGGAAAACGCTGCTTTAAAAGAAGGTGAAAAGTTGGGGCGGGTTACACAGTTTTTCAGGCGAAGTGGGAGGGCGAGGTCCTCCCACTGGGGAGCTAATGAAAATAAATTATCTTTAAAAATGAGTTGCTAGTGGGAGTTTGCCAAGAATAGCCAACATCCAGCTCCAGAAATACAGGATAATGCACAATGAATGAAAAAAAAAAGTGATTTTTTTGGTGGTGGTTCTGCACTTTACATTCTTTCTGTGTCTTAATATGTGAATGTTTTAAACTTCTGTAATCACGTTGCCTGTCATAATTGCCAGTGTACTTGAGAAATCTGTTCTCTGTTTTTCTTTGACTTTTACGTATTTTCTTTCCCTAGGACTCACAACACATAACCGTCTCACACCCATTCTGGTGCAGGCATCTAAGATGTAAATTGCAAGTCAAAGTTTGTGTAAGGTAAGGTAAAAGGCATCAGGCTTTTCTGCCCTCTTGCTATTAGGATGGATGATGGATCCTTGAGGTCCTGAATGCATGCCTGATGGCGGGCACCTGGAGGGGGCGTGGGCGCGCGTAAGTGGATACACCTGTGCTGAAAGACTGGGCTTATAAGGGCAGCGTCACGGGGATGCCAGCAGAATGAACAGCAGAGAGCAGAACCACGAGAGAGCAGCGGAGATTGCCAGGGAACCCCGGAGAGTGCAGGTAAAGTGAAGACTTGCTGAGGACTCTAGGACTCTCTTCTCCTTACCTGGTCTGCTGGATCAGAAACCCTGCTCAGTGTCTTCCTGCCGCTACAGTTTGCACACCATGAGCAATATTGCTTCGCAGGGCTTAATGTACAGGTACGTAAGGAAATGGAAACTGTTTCTTCGTTTTCAGTATTTTTAATGAAAGTTGTCCATTAGATCACTTTATTCCTGCATCTTCTCACTTGTCCTCCTTGTATTTATTCTTTTCCTTTCCTGCTTGGTGAGATTTGGCGTTTGCTGTAGGATATTTTTGCGGTCCTCGTTTGGTTTGAGTTTAGTGCAACCATCTTACTGACGTGAATGCCCACGTAGATGTTCGTGCTGTTTGCCTTCTCCTGCTGCGCTTGTTCCGTGTAGATAACATAATCCTTCCTCTAAACCTGGTTTCTGTGCCAATGTGCTGCCTGTAGTAGTGTCCTGGAATTTCATCATCCTCGTGTATGGGAATGGATTGAACATTCTACTTCTGTTTCTGCTCTTTGGAAAGGGGAAGACATCATCTTCCTACACATGTGGGTGGTGCATTGAAATGCCTTTACAGTTCTTGGCCTGGTCAGAAGTCACAAAGGGCTTGAACTTCATTTTGGTCAGTGGTGCTTCAGGGGTGACAGCAAAAGGCAGAAACTTCTTAAAGGAAAATTTTGTTCAAAGTGTGGAAGAATTGCAATTATGCTAAAGAAATTTTACTAAAAACTGTGAAAAACTAGTCTTGCACAGTTTTAAAATTCTAACACTGCCTTTCTTTTGATGTTATTTTAAAGACTGTCAAATGTTTAAACCCTAAGGTCATTTTTTCTCAATGAGGACTTTCTATTCTCTGCCTCGAGTAAGTTCTTACATATTCTTATAACTTCTTCCTACCTTCTTTTCCTCCCAGGACTTAAACCCTGTGTCATCAGTGGTTCTTACAACTGTGGGCTCCACCTCCCCGGTGGCCTAGGGGTTGAGTCTCAGCTCTACCACCGCGAAGGCCCACCATGATGGCCTGGGTTTGATCCCCGGCCAGGGACCTGACCCACATGGTGCAGCAGACTTCTCCTGTTTTGGCCTGCTGCTCCCCTCAGCAGTGTATGTCGGTAGACCTGCCTGTTCTGCTCCTCACTCGGCCTCTTGTGAATCCTCTTGTCCCCCGCACCTCTGGCCTACATTCAAATTCTACGCAAAAATAAATAAAACAAATAAAACTCTTAAAAAACAACAATACAGCTGTGGTCTCCAGACCATACCAGCAGCATCAGTATCACTTGGGAACTTGAGCAAATGTAAATTCTTTGGCCTTACTACAGACCTATTGAATCAGGAACTCAGGGATGAGGGGACCTACTATCTGTGTCTTAACAAGACTGCTGAGTGATTTTGGGACCTGCTAAAGTTTGAGAACCACCTCCAACTTTAGTTGTCAACTTTTTCTCATAATGGACTGTGGCACTACAGTTCTTAAGATGATGTTGCCCACATAGTAGATACCTGATTATTTGATCTGAGAGCACAGGTGTTTTGTCAGGATCTGCAGCAATTGTAAGGCATCTATCTTGTAGGAGAATATGTGGGAAGAAGGGAAGGAAATATTTAAGGTCTTTTTCTGTTTATTCCCCTGCTGCTTGGAAAGCCTGGGCAAAAGGTTTATAAAGTATGGACAAGCAATAGAATAAATATGTAGAATGGGTGGGATACATTTCAGTGTGCATTTTAGGACAGGGGTCCTGGACCTCAGCAGTTTCCCTCACAGTTCATAACTGTGAATGTAAGGGTGGAAACCCTAAAACCCGATTTTAGGGAAGAGACATTATAGCTGGAAAGTCTTCCTGCTGTTACATAAATATAATTCATAGTGCCTTGCTAGGACTTTTTGTTGAAGATGAGTGACTCTGGTTACTAAGGCTTTTGAAAGACTGACTTATTCTAGTATAAATATTTAGCCCAGAGCACTTGGGTCTCTTCTTACCCCAGCATGTCTATAAAGGGTAGATTCTCCACATTCAGCAACTTTGATTTTTTTTTTTTTTTTTTTGGCGGACACAGGAGCTAGTGTATAGTCAAGATCATGTCTCTCCTAAGGCATCTTCTAGTTCAATAATAATAAATTACAATGAAAGTTGCTTAAATGAAAACATAAATCACCTGTAAATCGAGTGTGGGGGGAAGGTAGGACTTTGGGGAATCTAGGCAGGCTTGGAGGCAATGACTTTTAAACTTTGCTTTTTTTAAGAAAAAAAGCTTATTTGGTCTTTCTTGAAGCCTTGGCTAAGTGTTATGTTAGAAGCCAAAAAAGGATGATGTTTTAACTTCTATTGTGCCTTCTTCCAAGATTCGAAACGCCTTCCAGTGAGATCTGAATAAATCTGGCACTAAGATTTTGAATGACACAACTGCTTTGTAAGTGATATTTTTATTCCTTAAGAGTAGGGTGGGTGACCTGACTTGTCTGGTTGTCCTGACAACCATGTGCCCCTCACATACTCAGGAGTATCCTCATTTGAAGAAAAAGTTATGTGGTCACCCAGTTAAGATTGACCTTTTAGGGGAATATTCCATATGCCTAAAATATGATAAAGGAAAACATCTTTATCCTTTTGGGCCATTTTTTCCCCCAGGAAACATTCTTTTGTTTTTATATAGTCTGGTGTTAATATACCAAAGTATAATTTAAAAAATTCAAAGTATGTGTAAGGCCTTAATTAAGATATAAAAATATTTCTTATTTATATTATGTAAATCTGAGAAAGTTAGTGGCCTTTCTTTTTACAAAGTATACTAGAATGTGCTACATACTAAAAGTGTCTGGTTTTTCTCCTAATTTTTTCTTTCTTTTTTTTTTTTTTTTTTTTTTTTTTTTTAAGATTTATTTATTTATGTATACAAGCACTGGGTACAGTCAGGAGCACGGGAGGGTGAGAGAATTCACCAGAGCCAGAGCGGGGAGCAGAGCAGGCAGAAGGACCAAAGTACACTGCTGAGGGGAGCAGCGGGCAGCAGGAGAGGTCCGCGCGCCATGTGGGACCCTCCTCCGGTGGCCGGGGAGCAGCCAGGGATCGAACTGGCGCTGCAGAGGCTGCGTGCAGCTTCACAACCCAGTGCTCAACCGCTGCGCCACCGGGGAGGCCCTCCTAATTTTTTCTTTAACTGTGAAAGAAAAAGATAATTTGAAAAGGATCTAGAAAATACTTAGGGATCATACTCCTAAGGACAGAAAATAGTCATGTGAATACAACTTACACTTTTAATTGGAAGTTTAAATATATCTGAATTAATCAGTAAAGCAGCTAAACCCCAAAGTCATTGTTTTAAAGTTAGCTAGCTGCAATAAAAAAAAATTAGTTTAACAGGAACTAATTTGGTCTGTTATAAATTAGGTCTTGGCTTGGTGTAAGCACCAAGTATTTGGATATCTACTAGAGGCACTAATTAGTGGGAGTAGTAGCACATGCAAAGTAGAATGTGATGCTGCCTTCCCTCATGAAGGCTTGTGATATAGTTGACTTGAGAGACAAAGACTGTTTATTTTTTTTAAAGATTTATTTATGCATATAAGAACTGTGTACAAGCCAGAGGTGTGGGGGGTGAGAAGATTCACCAGAGACAGGGTGGGGAACAGAACAGGCAGATCTACTGAAAAACACTGCTGACGGGAGCAGCAGGAGAGACAGGAGAGGTCTGCTGCACCATATGGATCAGCTCCCTGGCTGGGGATTGAACTCGTGATGCAGTGGCTGCGTATAGCTTCACAGTGCTGAGACTTAACCGCTTGTGATACCAGGGAGGCCTGACAAAGATTGTTTAAATGAGGTGAGGATTAAGAATTGATCTTTTAAAAAAAATGCTAAAACAGGAACTTTTAGTGATTTTTAAAGTGAATTGAGCTTTGTGTTTATGAAATCCCCAAACTAGGGTGTTGCAGAGAAGGGAGAGTTGAGAACAAATGCAAAGACTGGACTTAGCTCCCCAGGTGCCAGAGGTGGATTTATATGTGCATATAAAGTTTATTTGACTAAGTGTTATGTTAGAAGCCAAAAAGAGGGTTCTGTTTCAGTTTATATTGTACCTTCTTCAAAGGCTCAATACTCCTTCAAGTGAGATTTGGCACCTAGAATTTTTTAATTTTTGCGTAGAAGAACTGGGGTGTAGGCCAGAGGTGCACAAGAGTGTGTGTGTGTGTGAGTGAGTGAGTGGGAGAGAGAGAGGATTCACCAGAGACAGCGGGGAGCAGATCAGGTGGATCTGCTGAAATGCACTGCTGAGGGGAGCAACGGGAGAGACAGGAGAGGTCTGCTGTGCCTACCTGGGGATTGAATTCAGGTTGTAGTGGTGATAGCACTGAGACTTAACCCTTAGGCAACCAGGGAGGCCCCCTGGCACCTAGATTTTGAATGACACAACTGCTTCATAAGGGATGTTTTTACTCCTTAAGAGTAGGGTTGGTGACTATTCATCAAGGCTATCTTTGTGTAAACACTTCTGTATTTATAAATTCACTATCTCTGATAAAAAAATGGATAAAATAGAATAAGGCATTATTTAAGATGGGAGAAATTGACTTCTACAGAATTAGGAAGGTAGATTTGGGGCCTTGTTCCAAACTCAACTTATCGTAAAAACTATATCCTCTAAGCATGAAAGATTTGTACAGATAATCGATTGAAGCCAGTTGATCTGATGGTCATATAGGAAATGACTCAAAGGTAAGAGAAAAAAATTGGATAAGGAACCTAATTAAGGAATAGCATTAATGGCCCACATGGTGACTGTATTTCCTGTAGTAATAAGGGAAATAGGCAATAAGCCCTTGAAGCTTTTTGATTAACAAATGAGGATATGAAAACAAGGAAGAATAAAACATCAACTGAAATTTGTCTAGAAAAAATTCTCTTTATTTAAACAAACAAAAACATGTTAAGATGCCCACGATGACAAGAGTTAATCTAAAACTTGACAGTTAAAAGTTCCCCAAAGTTTTTAAAAAGACTTAAGTATTCTGCCTGCTGCCTTTTTAACCCATGACTTCTCCATCAGTTTTTCTGACCTGTGGATAGAAAGAGAGCACTGGATTGATATTGTTTTGATAGCACATGTTTTGAAGGAAGACCTAAGCTTGATGTGTGTTGGTGGCATTTCAAATAGAGTTCTAGACAGCTCTTTGTCTGAAGTCTGACTAAAGCTGTTAAGACTTTCCCTGCATTCTGTTGTGGTGGAGGAGGCCTTAAGATAGAAAATATGGTGTGGTTATTTTATTTATTTATTTATTTTAAAGAAAAGCTTGCCTAAGAATCTTGAGAATTTGGAGTAAAGTGCTGGTGATATTAATTAAAAAAATTTAACTATGCTAGTATCATAGTTAAAGCTATAGTAGTATAAAAAAGTTACTCTGCCTTTTCTCCAGGACTTACTCTTGTTAGGAGATTTATTATCTGTGGTCTTTTTTTTTTGTTTGTTTGTTTGATTTTTTTTTTGTTTTTGGAGTCACTGTGGGAGAGGACAAAAAAAGTTAAGCTGGAAACCAGAACTAGAGAATTAGTCTAGATAAACTTTAGCCTCAAAACATGGTTGCTCTTACCATGTCAGAGCAGAAAATGCCGGTTTTGTGCTAGCTTGTTTCATATCGGTCTTCTGTGTCTTCCCTGACCCGTGTGTGTAACTCCACTGATGGATCCTCTGCCTCTGGGATGTGCTCTTCAAGCTCTTTGGTTGGGGATTCTGAGCTGGTTCATGTATTGTTTACTAATTCTTTCCCCTTCATAGTTTTAGAAATTGCTCTTTTTTTCCTTGAAAATCTTAGAATCAGAGAACCTTTTGTAATTCAGTCCTTGAAGGACTGAAGTCTTAAGCAGAGTTGTAGAAAAGAACCCATGAATACAAGAACCCTTTCAAAGTGCATAACTGGAGCTTAGGCTTCTGTCCTGCCAGTGTCCTAGTGGCCATCTCACTTTAAGAGTTCAACATAGGGCCTCCCTGGTGGCGCAAGGGGTTAAGTCTCAGCACTATGAAGCTATCCACAGCCACTGAAGCATGAGTTTGATCCCAGCCAGGGAGCTACCCACATGGTGCAGCAGACCTCTCCTGTCTCCCTGCTATTCCCTCAGCAGTGTATTTCAGTAGATCTGCCTGTTCAGCTCCCCACTCTGTCTCTGGTGAATCCTCTCACCCACGACATCTCTGGCCTATACCCCAGCTCTTATATAAATAAATAAATAAATCTTTAAAAAAATTTTTTTTTTATGCAAACAAGAGCTGGGGTACAGGCCAGAGGCATGGGAGGGTGAGAGAATTCACCAGAAATGGAGTGGGGAGCAGAACAGGCAAATCTACTGACATACGCTGCTGAGGGGAGCAGTGGGCAAGATGGGAGAGGTCTGCTGCGCCATGTGGGTATCTCCCTGGCTAGCTGGGAATCGAACCCGTGCTGCAGAGCCTGCGGACAGCTCCACAGCGCTGGGCTCAACCAGCTGTGCCACCGGGGAGGCCCTAAATAAATCTTTAAAAAAAGAGTTCAACATAAAGATATGTATCCTGGTCTCTATTCCAGTAACTTCTGTAAGCTGATTTATCTTACCTTTCACACACCAGCGTTTTGGGACCAAATGTCCTAGAACGAATGAAGGAGAATGACGCATGTTATCTAGAAAGGAGAAGAGGAAAAAGTAACAATTCCTGAGACTCTTTATATCATTGTAGAGGCGGCTGGCAGATTTGAGTCTCCTTTCCATAGTGGTTTCAGGGATGCTGCTGCTCGGCCAGGGCCTACAGCCCCACCACCCTCACATTAGGGAGGTGATGTGACTAGTTTTTGGTCACTGAAATGTGAGTGGAAATATTCTCTTTTGGGCTGAGGTGGTTGAACTGCAGTTTCACCTTCTTACTTTATGTGGCAGCTGGGGAAGCCAGCAACAAGAAGCAAAGAACAGTCACAAGAAGAAAAGAACCAATGTTCTCGAACCACCCCTCCTGCCCCATAGGTATAGTGGGGTTGTATACAAGGAAACAGCTGTATGATAAAGCGTGATGTATATACAATTTAACTTTGTATACTTGATGTATACACAATTTATCTGTTAATGAAGCTTGTATTGTTCTAACAGACATATTTACTGTTTTATTTTTATTTATTGTTGATCTGCCTTATGATGTAGGTATAATTCCTTTTATAGATGAGGAAAATGTGCTTAAGTACTAAGTTCCCTTTGAGCCAGAGCAGAGAAACGTAGAATTGACTAAAGAGCTAATGAGTTCTCATTTTAACATGTTTAGAGAAAGGATAGCACTTGCGATGCAATGAATCCCAGCCTTTCAGATTTGGTCATTTTTTCTATTGGAAGTTGTTAGGTATTGATAAGACTTTTGCTATTATACATGAATTTAGATTTTAATTAGACTCCTTCTTATAAATTGCCTTTCCTGAGATGAAATTCTCAGATCATTTTGGTGAAGGATTTGGTGGGAGGCGCATGAGGACAGTTATCAGGGCTGGAGAACTTACTACCTACAAAAGGCCAAGCCCTCAGCTCTCACTCTGTTCGCTGTTTCGTCCATGCTCACCTACATCCCAGGCTTCAGGGCCAGGGGTCTGATTGGCAGCATTGGAAGGTTTTTCATTTGCTTCTGAACTTGGAGAAATAACTCTTAGAAGAGTAAGCAACTCTGAATAAAGTAGTCCAGAAGTTATAGGAGCAGAGGAGAAACTTCTTTTTATCTTTATTCCTCTCATTTGGCTAAGACTTCCCATAGTTATGATGTATGGAGGGTGAGGGGCAATAGAGCTTGACTCCACTCATCTGCCCCCAAAACAAAACACCTTACCATCAGCTCCAGCAGTTCTGTTGACACAATTAGCTTCATGTTCCTTGAGCTTTTGATCAGGACCACATGGCAAGCATTATATTTGCAGTTAGCCATCTTTTTAGCTAGCTTTGGATTTTTCTAAAAGAAAAAAGTTCTTGTTAAATGACTATTAGGTTTTGTCTGATTCTGCTCTTCATTCCTTTTAGGAAACGCTGAAGACACACCATGTTCCAGGTGCTATATGTGGTCAGAAGCTTATTCTTTTTTAACAAAAGTCTTTAATGTTTTATATTCTCAGCTTGTTTTTCTCCCTTCAGTGACATAACAGTTATTATCAGGAAAACTTACCTTTTTACGTGATGCCAGGTGGTACTGTAATCTGCTGGCTGGCATCCTGTGGTTTAGATCATAAGGACATATTTCTAAGGCTTCTGGCTCCATGAGGCCTATTTGCAGAAACCATGGGTTGGAAAAGAAAATATTGGCATTTAAAATTAGGTGGTTTTGACATAGGCCTGTTTTATGTTTTCAGGAGAGCGGTGTGAAAGATAACAGGTGTCTCAAGGCTTACCTGTGAAAGTTTCACACAGCTAAAGAACTAGCCTAGCCAGTTAGTTAAATGACTTAGAAGACCAAAAATCAACATTTGTACATTTATCCTAGACTGACAGGTGGTTTTAAGTGGAGTGCTTTATACCCAAAGAGTTTTATTTATTTATTTTAAGATTTATTTATACAAGAACCGGGGTATAGACCAGATGTGCGGGAGGGTGAGAGGATCCACCAGAGACAGAGTGGGGAACAGAACAGGCAGAGTGACAAATACACTGCTGAGGGGAGCAGTGGGCGAGACAGGAGAGGTCTGCCGCATCATGTGGGACCCTCGCCAGCTGGCTGGGATTGAACCGGTGCTGCAGAGGCTGCAGACAGCTTTACAGTGTGGTGCTCAACCTCCTGTGCCACCAGGGGAGGCCCAAGAGAGTTTTAAAAACAGGAAAGTTCCTTGGAAAATTCAGTCCTGGGGTAAGATGAAACTTAACAGCATATGGGCCTCCCTGGTGACCTAGGGGTTAAGCTTCAGCACTATCACCACTATGGCCTGAATTGGGTCCCCAGCCAGGAAGCTGACCCACATGGCGTAGCAGACCTCTCCTGTCTTACCTGCTGTTCCCCTCAGCAGGGTATTTCAGTACATCTGCCTGTTCTGCTCCCCACTCTGTCTCTGGTGAATCCCCTCACCTACCGCATCTCTGACCTACACCCCAGCTCATGTATGCATAAATAAATAAATCTTTTAAAAAAAATTTAACAGCATAAGCTTGAGAGCTGGAGAAAGCAAGCCTGGGGCAGCTGGTTTCTTTTACTCTTCAGCATTGCTCCCTTCTATTTCTTCTCCAAACCTATTTAAGCTCTGGGCTAGGCAGGGATGTCCCTGTCAGACAGGTCAGCATTGTCACTTTTGGGGAGAAGGCAGTGGAGGAATGAGCAGTTGCTCCACATTTGAAGTTCAGGCTATGGAATAATTATTTGAGAATGCCAGTCTGAAGTCTCTAAGCCATAGGTATTAACATTTGAAGACTTCTAGACGTCAGCTAAGAATACACCATCTCAAATCTGCTGTATTCTACTGCCAATAGGAGGAGGTCTACTTTTCCTTATGGCTAGCTATCTCTAGCTCTCATAGCAGATATTTACTTTAAGGACTCCCAAGTTTCCAGGCAACAGCTATGGCTGAGATTTCTGCAAAGCAGGGATAACCTAGTCTGATAGAGGAGAAAAGATGGAGGCAGACCGGCATAAGCAGTAGGGATGTGCATAGAATAGTTCATGTCTGTTCTGCTTTGCATCATGTAGACAAAGGGCTCAGGACTAGACTGTTAAATGTCAGGTTTTCCTGAGGGCATTTAGCAGGTGATAAAGTCCAGGGATTTAACTTCAGGTACATTTCAGGAAAACGAGCCAGGATGGTTAAAGCTTATACTGCATATTAATGATTATATTAGAGCCATGAACACTTATTATGAAGTGAATTGACTGTCTAGAAAAAACAAAAGCTGCAGTGTAATCCAGTGTTGTATTCAGTTCTCTTTAGGTTTAAAGAAAATGGAAATAGAGCTTTAACACGTAACTGTAGTCCTCAGATAACCCCCAGTCCTCTTCTAGCTAGCTACCTAGAAATGTATGATTTTGAAACACTGATAAGGCTGGTCTTAATAAAGAAAGAGTGCTTCAGAATATGTGACAGGAATTGTTGACCTTGGATCATTCACGTAATTGTCGATTGTCAAATATCCCCCAAATAGGGCCAAGACAAAAATGGAGGCCATTTTAAGACACATTATATGTGGCGAGAGTATTCCAACCTTGACGCTACTTTGACACTTAAACCTAGTCTAAAGCCTCCTGAGATACACCTTATCCTTGAAGCAGTATCTGTCAAGAATCTGAAGTGTCATGTGAAGAAGAAACAGTCCTATGAGGCAAATAGCTGAAGTTTGAGGAGAGGGAAATCACAGTATCTCTCAGTCAAATGATGTGAATCAAGCTACTCAGTTGATCTTCCACATATGTTCCATGGTTTCTCAGAGGTTTGGAAGTCTTTGATGTCACAGTCAAGTCTTGGAGAAATGGTTCTCAATCCTGGCTGTACATGAGAAACACTGACTAGTTTTAAAGTGACAGATCCTTTGACCCCACACCAGAACTATTGAATTAGAACCTGGCTCACTGTGACTTTAAAGGAGTTCACAGGGGAATCTTGTTTGTAGCCAGGGTTACGAGGGCATGCTCTGGAGTAATTATACTACCCTTACAGGGCTCTTTCAGTTTCCAGAAAGATCTGCAGTCTCCTCTTTCCAGCGTCGTTTCCCTAAGGACTACCAGTTGGCAGAACTAGTCCTGTCTTCAGATGTGGCTTGCTTGCTTTTTTTTTTTTTTTTTTGGCTTGCATTCTTGATGGGATACCAAGTAGAATTCCATAGACAGTAACTTAGGTTCACTACATACTTAAAAAATAAAATTTTACTTTGTTTTTGGGCTTCTAATCCAATGTACCGGGTCTTGAGCCAAACGTTTACATCCACGCCATCATTTAATCACTCCCATGTTGTATGAGGGATTACCATTTTAGAGAGCAGGAAACCAACTCAGTGGTGATAAATAACCTTAACAAAACTACATGTTTGAGGACCATTATTAATATTATGAGGTGCTACTTGTAAATTATTTAAAGCACCTGGTGCATAGTAAATTAGTCGGTCATCACCTTAAATGTAGTAATTTACCTATTAGACACAATAGCCCTATGAGAGTGGAATTATTATGAATATCATGTCCATTGTACAGATAGGGAAACTGAGTGAGAGTTGGGATGTGAGCTCCAGCTGTCTGACTCCAGAATCTGAGCTCTTGGCCTCTAAGTCATAAGGCTCAGCCCTCTGTACTTAACTACACTTGCACCCCAACTCCTCCTGATGACAAAATGTGGCATTTTCCCATACCCCAAGTACAGGCACACATGTGTTTCCACCGACCTTAGAGTTCAGTGAGGGTGGCGGTATAATATGAAATGTGCAATTAAAGGTGGAACCTAATTTAGATGTAGAGTGTGTGGTTGTGGGGGTGTTGTGGAAATCCGCATGAATTGGACTTGGGACTATCTGAGCTGAAGGCTGAGTAGGATTTAATGGGGTCGGCACTGGGGAAAGCACACACGAGTGAAGTCAGAAAGGCAGAAATGAGCAAAACTCACCCACGGTAGACTGAGGACATTGTCCTCACTAGCCAGGGGAGCACCTAGTGGGAGGCAGCAGAAAACGAGACTCGCTTGGGATGGAGAGTCTTCAACAAAATTTTCAGTATCAGGATAATGGTAAGAAAAGCAAGTGCAATAGATTCAGATCTGTACTAACCTGTAAGAAGATGGCTGTCACGGTGCTGCTCAGTCTCCTAGATGCTGGTATCTCACCGCCTGCTCCTTATCCACCCCCATCAAGGTGAAAGACCGATAGAAACCCCCACAGATCTCTTAGGAGAAGCTGGGTTTCTTTCACAACAGCAGATGATTCAGTCTTCTGGACCAGTGTCACCTATGTCAGACACTGACATAGTGTCAGAGCTTTCTAGGGATACAATCCAGTACACACACTGGAAGGCATTATGTTTTCCCAAAATGTAACGTCTCCTTTAGAGATTTTTGAAAGTTCATGTTAAGTATTGCCATCTTCTTGTTTATTTTTAAATACATTCTTTTGGGAGCTGTAGAGTAAGTGAAAAAGTATCAGGCTTTTCTGCCCTCCTGCCATTAGGATTGATGATGGAACCCTGCGGTCCTGAATGCATGCCTGATGGCGGGCACCTGGAGTGGGGTATGGGCATGCGTAAGTGGGCACACATGGGCTGAGAGATTGGCCTTATAAGCGTGGCATCACGGGGATGCCAGGAGAACCATGAGAGAAGCAGAGAGAACGCAAGAGAAGGCCGGAGAGCCCAGAAAGAGTGAAGACGTGCTGGGGGCCAGGAGGCTGGAAGGCCTGCCTGCTGTGTGCCTGGTAAATCCCAATAAACGCCACTGAGGGCTCCAGGACTCTCCCTCACCCCATCTGTGTAGAATCAGAGATCTTGCCCTGTGGCCATCCTACCCCTACAGGAGAAAACTTTTAACATTCCTTATAATAATCAACTCTCTGCCCCTCCAGCCCAGTCTTATTGGGACAATACGAACATCCTGGGTATGAAAATTGGGAATGGTTGAAAAGTGAGGAAAATATATTGCAAAAGAGAGATATTAAGACATCTTTGTTTGATTTAGAATTTTTTTTCAAGGACCTTTTTGCCTTGGAAAAAAACTACATAGTGAACTAGTTTTCTTAAGTTAGGGAGTTAAAGCCTAATTGGAATAGCAAGACAGTTTTAGTGCTAAAATCCATCCAGTCTTCTAAGGTTTATAAAGATTCTTATTTTTCCTTGTTAAATTCAGTTAATTTGTTCTTCATAGGTTCTGTTTCCCAAGTTAGTAATTCAAATAAATCAGCGTACTTACTGAGTAGCTACTCTGTCCACTCTGTTCTAGATCAGCGTTTCTTGACATGTCTAGTGGGACATTTATGCTAAAATCTCCTAGGAAACTTATAAATGCAGATGTCTAGGCCTCACTGCAGACCTACAAACCCTGAATCTCAGAGGGTTTCAGTTTAAGCACCTTTGAGAACCATTATAGAAGAATTGTGGTTCTCCAGCTTGAGAGTACATTGGAACCACCTGGAGGGCTTGTTATAACAGTTTTGGCTCTTATCCCAGAATTTCAGATTCAGCAGGGTTGGGGGTCTGAGAATTTCTATGTCTAACAAGTTTCCAGGTGATGTTAATGCTGCTGGACCATATTTTCAAAGTCACTGTATTAGATTACTGAGCAAGTCACATATTTAAATAAATTTAAAAAAAGTCACTGTACTAAAACACTGGAAGGGAAATAGAAAAGTTCTCTCTCTATATATATATATATAGAGAGAGAGAGAGAGAGAGAGAGATTTTTTTTTTTTTTTTTTTTTTTTTTTTGGGGCGTAGAAGGCCAGAGAGGCAGGGGGTGAGAGGATTCACCAGAGACAGAGCGGGGAGCAGAACAGGCAGACTGATGAAATACACTGCTGAGGGGAGCAGCGGGAGAGACAGGAGAGGTCTGCTGTGCCATGTGAGTGGCTTCTTGGCCGGCGACCCAATTCAGTCCATAGTGGTGGTAGTGCTGAGATTTAACCCCTAGGCCACCAGGGAGGCCCAAAAGTATTAGATATAATTCCTATCATTAAGGAACTTAAATCGTTGGGGGAGTGTAGGGTAAGTGAAAAAGTATCAGACTTTTCTGCCCTCCCACCATTAGGATGGATGATGGATCCCTGTGGTCCGGAATGCATGCCTGATGGCGGGCACCTGGAGTGGGGCGTGGGCCGACGTAGGTGGGAACACCTGGGCTCATAAGGGCGGCGTCACGGGGACGCCAGCAGAGCAGAGAGAACGAAACAGCAGAGCAGAAGAGTGAAGTAGAACCACAAGACGAGAAAAAGGCCACGAGAGAAGGCCGGAGAGCCCAGAAAGAGTGAAGACTCGCGGGGAGCTGGGAGGCCTGCCAGCCTCCCGGCCCCCCAGCACCCCTGCCTGCTGTGTACCTGGTAAATCCCAATAAAAGCCTGAAAAGCCACCGGGGTCTCCAGGATTTCTCCTTACCCCGTCTGCTCAGATCATAGAGATCCTGCTCCGTGTCCTCCTGCTGCTACATTTGGCGTAAGTTGGCAAGATAATCCAAAGCAGTCGGGTATGGAGCCCTCCAAAGACCGCAGGAGGGACTGAGGAGTAGCGACTGAGCCTGTGACAACGCTGGAGGCGTCGTGGTAGAACAGGAGATGGACAAGGTCCGGGCGCTGCGGGACGAGACCTTGCCTGGAGGAGAAGACGCCTGAGAGGACCAGCCCAAGGCCCCCGAGGCAGCAGAATCGTTGGGGAAGAAAGAGGACTACGACTCAGAGCTCGCCGGTGCTGATGCAGGGAGAGGCCAACGGACTTGGACCGACAATCCTGCCAGAAGGCGGAGGAACATTGGCAAGTTGATGTTGTTTTGGGGACCCTGAGGGTGGATGGTTTCGTTTGTAAACCCCAGGAGATAAAAATGAAGGTATGGCTGGTGGGCCTTGGTAGACTAGCCCACGACTGGCTGAGGGAGGAAGCCCTCGCCAAGTTCTCTGCAGCCAGGCGAGGAAAAGCCAACTTAGAAAGGCAAAAGCTGGTGCTGAGATTGGGAAGGCCTAAGCGGCTGTTAAGCAGCTTGAATATGTGGAAGAAGCCCTGTGAGTCTCTTAAAGTCACCTGTGGGTGATGCCCTGTTCATTGTTGAGTGAGGGTGGGGAGCTGAGGAACCCATCCTTGGGGGACGGGTGGGGAATGTGGCTTGTGGTGGAGCCTCAGCCGAAGAGGGGACCCAAGAGAGGCCGCACGTGGAGCTTGTGTCCACGGATCCCCGACCCATGTGCTTGTGCAGTGGGTTGGCCTGAGCGCAGGGGTCTGCGTGTCGCATGGGTGGCTGTGAAAGCCCAGTGTTGGAGCGACCGCAGACAGAAACCCTGAGGGTTGGCGATTACCCCCAAAGTACAGAATCGCCTGTCCAAGAGTGAGTGCATCCTGGGGGTGGATGTGGTGTGGCTTGTGGCTGAGACCACAGCAGGAGAAGACCAGGAAGCCTGACGGCTCCTGGTGTGTGATGACAGATGCCTGAATGGTTCCCCTTGTATGAGCAGTGCCTTCGGCAGCAGAAGTGGTGGATCATCTGCTGGTGCCAATAATCTTGTTTTTTGCTACTAGGTTGGTGCCCTGCCTGGACTAATTTGTGTTCTGTTGTATTTTATGTATTCAGTTATATTGTGATGTATTCGATTTACTTTTGTGGGCCATGGCTGCAGTGTTCATATTGCCAAGAGAAATGTGTGTATAACTTGAATATAGACTGATATAGACTGTCTGGCAGAAGACCCTGAGGGGTGGATTGTAGGGTAAGTGAAAAAGCATCAGGCTTTTCTGCCCTCCCACCATTAGGATTGATGATGGACCCTGTGGTCCTGAATGCATGCCTGATGGCGGGCACCTGGAACAGGGTGTGGGCATATGGAGTTGGGATTCCCCTGGGCTAAGACTGGGCTTGTAAGAACAGCGTCACGGGGACACCAGCAGAAGCAGAGCAGCGAGCAGAACCACGAGAGGAGCAGAGAGCAAGGCCACCAGAGAATGCCGGAGAGCTCAGAGCGAAGACTTGCCCCCCTGCCACCCTTGCCAGCTGTGTACCTGGTAAATCCCAATAAAAGCCTGAAAGCCACTGAGGTCTCCAGGACTTCCCCTTACCCTGTCTGCTCAGATCATAGAGATCCTGCTCCATGTCCTCCTGCCGCGACAGGGAGATGAGACATATATTTGAAAATGTAACAATGGAAAACAATGTTAGGTATATCTGACATTGGTTGGGGGTAGTTAGTAGGAGTTGGTATTTGATTTGGGCCCTAAAGGCTGGGTGGGTCTAATGTTCAGTAAAGAGTGACAGTTGTTCTTCATGGGGATAAAGAGGTAAAGAGTAAAGGCGATTGCATGTGGGCAATGGATACTTGTTTGTCTGGTGTCGCGCTCTGCAGAAGACACTGGTGGAGGGATCAGGCCAAAAAGGTTGGTTCCGGACTCTGAAGAGCTTTGACAGCCTGTCCTCCTTCTCTGCCTCCACCCATTTCAGTCTGAGCAAAAAGAGGAAGTCTCCTCTGCTGAATGTGCAAGAGGAAGCACAAGAAGATTGTAAGGCCTGTGAGCTGCAATGACTGCTGTAAGCCATGAGCCAATTGCAGAGGCGACAGGAAGACAAGCACACCAACCAGGCTGGGTCCCTCCACCCAGTGGGTGTCACCGCCCAGGCTGAAGGTGTTTGGGGAGATCAGGCATTGCTGTCTGGATGCGCCTCTCTTGGGGGCCATCATGTCTTTAACCTCAGCCTACCAGCATAAGCTGGCCGAGAAGCTCACTATACTGAATGATCGAGGCCAGGGGGTTCTCATCCGTATATATAACATCAAGAAGGTAAGTGTGAGCAACTGGCCTAGCGCTGATCACCCCGGCGGCAGCAGGGCGGGGAACCCTGAGGCCTGCAGCTCCAGCGCAGACTCCTCACTCTGGCTGGTTTAACTCGCCACCAGTCAGTCACATTATACAGGCCAGCTAGAACTGGGGTGCATAGGACGGTGCATGTTTTAGGGCTTCCCTTTCTTGGGTATGATTCTTACCCAAATGAAAGTGTTTGGTTTTTTTTTTTTTTTTCTGGGTATTGGGGTAGAGATGGGGGTGGGAAATAATTGTGTTCTGAGTCTCTTGGATAAACCTCTAAGGTGGAGAATTCTGGGTCTTATAATTTACTGCTGATACCCCACGCTCTGAAGAGATCCAAAGTTAGGTAGAACTTTGGCAAAAAATTTTTCTATGAAAGTTCTTCCCCTAAGAGGAAAAAATACATATGATATTTAGATTAAAAAGGGTGGGTGCCTTCTGGGTCTGAGACAGTTCGTGCTGTGGTTGGGGATGTGTGTGTTTAGGACAGGAGCTGCGGAATTGGGAGAAGCTCTTGGCAAGAGCCAGGCAAGGGGCTGGACCGAGGGCAGGGAAGAGATGATGACAGGGCTGGGAGTCGGGAGTTCCTGGAAGAGGAAATGTGGGACTTGGGAGGGGGAACTTCTGTCCATTTTGTAATGAAACAAATCACCAGGAATGTGTGTTCTCGGTCCCCTGTCTCCTATAAATGCTCTTTGGGACGAGATACAACGGACATAATTGTGACGCTGAGTCTCTCACAAAGTCTGCCTCCTGAGCAGCTGCTTTTCTCATTCTTTCCGGCTTTGGCCGAGCGGTGGGGAGAGAGCTTCCTCTTTGTGCTGGGGCAGACATTAAACTTCACCCGTCAAGACAAGATGTCCAAAAAAAAAAAAGTAAAGACAAGATGTCCAGGTTACTTAGCTCTTCCGAGAGTTGACTTAATGTTCTGACCTTGTTCCTGATGTACTCTTATGCTTTAACCCATGATAACAATTATGCTTTTTATATTTAATTCCCAGATCCCTCTTTCTCTAAGGGGTAGTATGAGTGATGTAAGAGGAGGTGTGTTTCTGAGGGGCACGCGAGAGGGTTGCCGTATATTGACACATAGCGTGGTTTATCTGTGCAGACTTGTTCAGATCCCAAATCCAAGCCATCTTTCTTACTGGAAAAGTCTATGGAGTCATCTCTCAAACACATCAACAAGAAATTTCCCAACATAGATGTCCGCAACAGCACGGTGAGAACTTGGTGCCTCTTCTTTCCTTTCTCTGAAATAACTGCGCTTGAATGTCTCAGGCCCTGCACTGTTGCCCGCCCCTCTGTGAACTTGGCAGCGGGTGGAGTAGCTTCTTTTAACTTTCCTAGGCTCAACCACCAGGTGATAGGTTGTTGTAGTCTTAAGAATTCTGAGATAGGATGGAAACCTCCTGGGTAAATGGTCACAAAGCACTGACCTTTCTCTATTGGAGATTCAGGAGAACACTGTTCTTGTAGAGGAAGACATTTCTATCAGCCCAGCAGGGGGCAGATATTTTATTGTTGTTTTTATTTTATTCCTGTTTCCCACAAAGCAAAATGTTTCTTTGCTAGTTGTTTTAGAATCACACTTCTCCCTTATGAATGTTAGCCCTAGATTTCTTACCATCTTACCTGTATCATCTTTGCAGTCTGCCTCTTTTGACTTTGGGATAGTCAAACTCTTAGACTGAAAAGGACCTTGAATTTCCTCCTATTGAGCACTTTCTATAGTTAGTGGGCATTACAGGCAACCATCATGCCTATATAGACAACCTCCTCTGTTTAAAGACCATTGGAACGTTGAGATTTTCCAGCTTCCTCTGTCAGTGTGTTTCAGCCTTCTTGAAGGACACCTTTTGGGAATTAACCCCTGTTTTACTTGGGTTATTGTGACCCATTGTCATCATATTTCATGTTTTGAAATTTTGTCCCTGTTTATCTCAGCAACAATTAGGGCCCATACAGCGGGAAAAAACAGAGATTATTAGACTCCTGACCAACTACTACCAGTCGTTTGTGGATGTCATGGAATTTCGGGTGAGTCCTAACCCAGGTCCCCAGTGTAGGCATTGACCTTTAGAGGCTATTCCTTTTTTAGAGAATGCTTATTTTTGTCACTTAATGTTTCTTTTCTTTTTTTTTTAAAGATTTATTTATTTATACAAGCACTGGGTACAGTCAGAAGCGTGGGAGGGTGAGAGAATTCACCAGAGCTAGAGCGGGGAACAGAACAGGCAGACTGACGAAATACACTGCTGAGGGGAGCAGCGGGTGGCAGGAGAGGTCTGCGCGCCATGGGGGACCCTCACCCGGCGGCTGGGGATCAAACCTCCGCTGCCGAGGCTGTGGGCAGCTTCGCAACCCAGCGCTCAACCGCTGCGCCACCAGGGGAGGCCCACTTAATGTTTCTTGAAAAAATAAGAAAGATGTTCTGATATGAAGAATATCTTAGTTGTATTGTAAAATGAAAGCCATTTGCTGAATAGTGTATGATACAATTATATTTTTATTTTAAGATATACAAGCTATGTACACATAGAATTAGTATACATATAGGAAAGATTTGGAGTGTTATGTATTAAAATGTTAAAAATAGCTACCTTTGGGGCAGATTATGATTGACTTCTATATTTTGGTTTAAATTTTGAAGAATTCCCTCCAATATCTTATTACAATTCTACTGAAAAATTCCAAGAGTAGTGCAATGAATATTGTTCTACTCTTTTCCTGGATTTCCTTATTGTTTGTACTTTTCCATGTTTACTTATCTTTCTCTATTTTTTTCCTAAACCATTTGAGTTAGTTGTAGACATGATATTTCCCTCCCTAAGCACTTTTAGCATACATCTGCTGAGACCAAAAATACACTCTTACATAACCCTAACACAATTATGATACTCAGGAAATGTAACGTTGCTACAATATTATTAATATCTAGGCCATTCACATTTCACATTCACATTTCTCTAGTCCTCTCAAGGATCATATATCGAATTTAGTTCTCGTGACTCTTTAGTCTTTGAACGAGAAAAGTTTCCAGCCTTCTTTGTATTTCTAGGCTTCTCAGATTTCGATGGCTTTACCACTTATACAATGCATGACTTTAGACTGGAAACTTTCACTCCTAGTTTCTTTACCTATAAATGGGCAAATAAAATTTACTCTATGGGATTTTGTGATAATTAAATGAGATAATGCGTGGAAAATAGCAAACTTAGGATTTAGCAGATAGTAATAGGCCAACAGATGTTAATTCCATTCATTCTTGTTTCTAGAATATAAGGCCTGTATTGATTATGTGAGTGACTGAAAGTGAACTGCTGTTATATCCCATAGGAGTTGAGTTGCAGAAATCAGTTGTAGGCAGGCCCTGCTAGCAAGCGAGGCAGCATAGACCTAGACATAGGTGTAGAAGTCATGTGGCACAGCGGAAGACTGTGGGCTCTGGGCTTTAATTCTAGTTCTGTCCCTTTCTAGCTTTGTGATTTGCGGTAAGTTTCTTAACTGCTCCTAGCCTCAGTTTCCCAATAGGTTAGTTTAGACATTTTAGTTAGTTTAGCCTTTTTGGGATGATAACTTAGAAACATCTTTTCCCCATATATTTTAGTAAGTTTGACAAATGTGCGTACCTGTGTAACCACTGCCACAATCAAAGGAAAGGACACTTTAATTAGCACAAAGTTTCCTTGTGCCTTCTCCCCCACACCTTATTTAGTCCCTGCCTCTCAAACTCCTTAGAGAACTGCTTTCCACATTAGATTTTTCTTTATTTTAGAGCTTATGATTAGAATCTCTATGGCATGTTCTCTTTTGTGTCTGGCTTCTGTCACTCAGCATAATGTTTTTGAGATTTATGTAGGTTGTTTTATCCTTTTTTTAAAAGATTTATTTATGCAAGAATTGGGGTACAGGCCAGAGGCATGGGAGGGTGAGAGGATTCACCAGAGACAGAGCAGGAAACAGAACAGGCAGACTGAAATACGCTGCTGAGGGGAGCAGTGGGCGAGACAGGAGAGGTCTGCTGCACCATGTGGGTATCTCCCTGGCTGGCCAGGAATCGAACCCTCACTGTGGAGGCTGCGGACAGCTTCACAGCGCAGCACTCAATCTGCTGCACCACCGAGGAGGCCCTGTTTTATGCATTTTTGATTAATTTCCTCATTTGGCTGAGTACTATTCCAGTGTATGAATATAATTTGTTTATTCATTTACCTGTTGACGGGCATTTTAGCTGTGTCCAGCTTTTGGCCATGATGTGTAAGTTGCTGTAAACATTTGTATACAGATCACTGTGGTGACATATTTTTCATTTTACATGGATAAATAATTTAGAAATGGAATTGCTAAATTATAGGGTGTTTGTATGTGTAATTTCATAAGAAATGGCCGAACTTTTTTTCCAATGTCATTGCTCCATTTTTCCCACTCTACATTCTTATTGGCACTGAATCAAATTTTATCTGAATCAAATTTTAGGCATGCTAGTAGGTATGAGGTGGTATCTTATTGTGGTTTTAATTTGTATTTCCCTGATGACTAATATGATTGAGCATCTTTTCATGTGCTTATTGACCATTTGTATATTTTTTTATTGTAAGTTAGCTTTTGGCAATGCATGAAACACACTCTTTGATCAAGCAGTTCTGCTTTTGTAAAATGAAAGTGCCAACATGCAGTGAATAGGCCAGGAATTGCGAACAAAGCAAAGGTTCATCACTATGAAAAAGACTGCACGTGGTATGGCCCATCAGGTGATCTGCATTTTGTGTCCTTTTTTTATGGAAAAAGGCCACATCTGCCACTCAGATGATAAGCTATGAAAGTGTGTGTAATTGAATAATGTCTTGTGCTTGTGGAAACGCAGGCTTTGGGCCTCTGAAAGAGAGAGGAGGGAATTCAGCAGTGCCTGCCTCACTATTCAGCAGTGCCTGCTTCACTTAGGTGACTCAGTGACTCTCTGGACCTCTGAGGGAGAGAACCCATCCCCTCAAATTTTGGTAGAAAGATGCCATCTTCTCTTTGTTCATTCTTGCCTCCAATTCTCCTCCCAGGATCATGTATACGAACTGCTCAACACCATTGATGCCTGCCAGTGCCATTTTGATATTGTAAGATTCTTTGCAACTCTTTTTTTATCCTAGAGCCACAGAAAAGACCAGGTCTTGGTTGGGACAGTGTGGGGTGGCATGGAACCGGGGGAATGACTATTTCATCCCAGGGTTATAATTCTTTCGTAAAAAGCACTGAAGTGAAAGTGTATTCATATGTTCAGGAGATGAGCAATGTGATTTATTTAATATAAAAATTACCCAAGAATCTTATTTTACTTTCTCCAACTCCTAAAGCTACCTTATTTCCTGGCATTCTTGTATCTTTTTTTTTTTTTAAGTTTTAAAAAAAATTTATGCATACAAGAGCTGGGGCACAGGCCAGAGATGCAGGGAGGTTGAAAGGGGGGGGGGAGAGGATCCACCAGAGACAGAGTGGGGAACAGAACAGGCAGACTGACCGAAAAACACTGCTGAGGGGAGCAGCAGGCGAGACAGGAGAGGTCTGCCTCACCATGTGGGTTTCTCCCTGGCTGGCTGGGGATCAAACTCATGCTGCAGAGGCTGTGGATTGCTTCATATTGCAGTGCTTAACCCATTGTGCCACCAGGGAGGCCCCCTCCTTGTATCTTGAACCCACTTTTAGCCCCCGACTTTTGGTCCAGTGTTCTCCAGATCCTTTCAGAGTCCTGGCACTCTCTGGTATGGTTGGGAAAATAGGGATCAATATGCTTTTCTTGGGTTCCTGTGTATTTTCCTTGTAGAATCTTAACTTTGACTTCACTCGGAGTTACCTGGACCTGATTGTGACGTACACCTCAGTTATTTTACTTCTGTCACGGATTGAGGATCGAAAAATACTCATTGGCACGTACAACTGTGCTCACGAGATGCTCCACGGGCATAGGTGAGTCACAGGGAATATGTGAGGGGAAGAGGCTCAAACGTGGTGCCATGAGGTGGGAGGTCAATATAAAGGAAATAGAATCCACACTTTCTCATATGAGAATAATCATCTACCTGATGACCCAGGCAAAATAAAACAATGGAGACTACTTATAAGGGTGTACACCGACAAGCGACTCTTCTATGTAGGGAAGTCTTAAATATTTGCTAATGGATCAACCAGGTTTGCATCATTTCTGATTAGTTTTTATCCTGGACTGGCTTCCACTTTGCTTTTCAGGTTATTGTAAAAGGATCTACCTCAAATTATCTGGTTCTGTCTAACCATAGTTTAGTATCCCGGGGTTTGGAGTGGGTTTTCTGCATAAGCAATTCAGTTTAGCATGTGTATCTTTGGAAGTGGTAGAGATGCCAGCCTACTTTTATCCTGGATGCAGACATAGGTTTATATCATGCTTATGGGAGGCCTGTAACTCCTTTTTTCTGTGCTTGCTTCTAGCGATTCCAGTTTTGCCCGTCTGGGTCAGATGGTCTTGGAGTATGACCAGCCTCTGAAGAAATTGACAGAAGAGTTTGGGCCTCACACAAAGGCAAGTTCCCTGAATGAGTGGAGAGTTCCTCAGGCAGAAGTGTGCTGTCTCTGTCACTGACACCAAGAATTTGTTGTTTCCCGCAGGCTGTAAGTGGGGCCCTCCTCTCTCTGCACTTCCTCTTTGTCCGAAGGAACCACGGGGCTGAGCAGTGGCGCAGTGCCCAGCTTCTAAGCCTCACTAGCAGCCCAGCAGCCATGATTAACCCTGCTCATTCAGACACAGTGAGTTTCCTTTTCCTCTTGCTAGGGGAGCCATTCATTTGCCAAGGCCATCTCTGTAACGATGCTGCTTCAGGAAATATCAGCCCCAAAGTACTCAAGCCCACTTTAAAGATACACCTTAAGACCGATCATTTCTTTCTTTCTTTTTTTTTTTAAAAAAGATTTATTTATGCATACAAGAGCCGGGGTACAGGCCAGAGGTATAGGGGGGTGAGAGGGCTCACCGGAGACAGAGCGGGGAACGGAACAGGCAGACTGACTGAAATACACCGCTGAGGGGAGCAGCGGGCGAGACAGAAGATGTCTGCTGCGCTATGTGGGTCAGCTCCCTGGCCAGCTGGGGATCGAACTCTTGCTGCAGAGACTGTGGTTTGCTTCATAGTGCGGTGCTTAACCCCTTCCGCCACCAGGGAGGCCCCCCAAGACTGATAATTTCTTGTAGCTAAAAAATTATGGGTAGGTGGGAGCTTTTGTTTGGATCAGAATTAGTAGATGCCTTCACCTAGAAGGAATTTAGCAAATATTCACAGAATGAACAAATGGGTGAAACTGAGTCAGTAGGCACCTATTTAGACAACAGGATCTTGAGTGTAGCATCAGTTAACTGTTTTTATTCAACTACTACATGAGCACAGCAGCCTTGCTTCAAGAAACTCATAGGGAAGATGTGCCATTTATTCACACAAAAACAGTTGATGGGGCTGCCCTGGTGGTGCAGGGATTAAGTCTCAGCAGTATCAAGCTATCATGAGCCACTGCGGCCTGTGTTCCCCAGCCAGGGAGCTACCCACATGGCGCGGCAGACCTCTCCTGACTCGCCCGCTGCTCCCCTCAGCAGTGTATTTCCGTCAGACTGCCTGTTCTGCTCCCCGCTCTCTGGTGAATCCTCTCACCCCCCACACCTCTGGCCTACGCCCCAGTTATTGTATGCATAAATACATAAAATAATTAAAAAAAAAATACAACTGATGGTACAGGATGAGAGAAAAGTGCCAAATAAGTGATGTGTACTTTCAGTGGTAAAAGGATCCAAAGGAGTGGAGAAATCACGAAGAGGTTTTGACTCTTACTCTTCTGTTATTAAAAGTATCTGAACTTTTGGGGAGCAGTTCTGTGAAACCTTTTGTTCTGACTTCAGCTATCCTCTTTTTTTGCCTTATCCCACTTCCAGAGCCTCACACCCATTATTAGCAGGTTTCCCAGCTAGTTTCCCAGACCTAATCCAGTCTGGTAAGATAAAATTGGCTTTGATACTTAAATACTAATTTGATTACCTTTGTTTCTATTTTTTTTAAGATTTATTTCTATTTATGCATACAGAGCTGGGATGTAGGCCGGAGGTAGGGGATGGTGGTGAGAGGACTTACCCGAGACAGAGTGGGGAGCAGAAGAGGTGGAACTACTAAAATACACTGCTGAGGGGAGCAGCAGGTGAGATAGGCGAGGTATGCTGTGCCATGTGAGTCAGCTCCCTGGCCAGGGATCGAACTCAGGCCACAGTGGCTGGCAATAGCATGATAGTGCTGAGACTTTAACCCCACTGCCACCAGGGAGACCCTCTACCTTGTTTACCTTTGTCTTGAGTGTGTTAGTCTTTGGGGGAGGAACAAATCAAATAACCACTCGACCATCTCTGTCTTCTCACAGATGGCGTGTGAGTACCTGTCTGTGGAAGTGATGGAGCGTTGGATTATCAGTAAGTTTGTGGGAGGCGGTGGGGGTGGATGTGGCAACGTGTTACATGGAGAGCAAGTTCTAAAAGGCTTCCCCTGCACTGTTTACCCACCTACAGTTGGGTTTCTTCTTTGTCATGGGTGCCTCAACTCCAACGCCCAGTGCCAGAAGCTGTGGAAGCTGTGTCTGCAGGGCTCCCTGTACATCACCCTCATCCGGGAGGACGTGCTCCAGGTGCACAGGGTCACTGAGGAGCTGTTTAGCAGTTGCAAAGGGTGAGAGACAAGAGAACCAAACTCATCTTTTGGGGATGGTTATTTCCTCCATCAGTGTCCTGATTACATGCGTGGTGGTAAGGACCAGTTCTAATCACTGAAGAAATGTTTATTGAACACCTATTTACTAGGCGTGCCACTGGGTTTTAGGGATACATTGATTAATAGCATAGAGTGTGGACTCTGAAACCTGACAGCCTGGGTTTGGATTTCAGCTCTACCACTTACTGGCCGTGTGATTTTTGCGGGGGGTGGGTGGCAGGGAGGGAGGGGGGTGGAGAGAGAGAGAGAGAGAGAATGAGAGAATAAAGCATACATATTTTTTCAACTTTGTATTAGCAGTTTTTGAAAAGCAGAGAGAGCTCAGGGAAGGGTGTTGAGAAGAAGAGAGAAAACAGAAGCCAAGGGAAGAACACATCCCAAGAAGGAAGTCCTGGTTGTCTGTGTTAGATGATGTTGAGAGGTCAAATAAAATGAGGATTGCACAGTGTTGATTGGATTTGACTATCAAGATGGTCTAAGCACCCTTCTTGTGGACAACTTGTTGAGTAGTGAGGTTGAGAGCTTGGTTGTAGTGGTTTAAGAGCAAATGGGGGGCAAGGAATTTAATAAGTAACTCAAGAAGTTTGACCAAGAGCGGAAGAATAGAGAGAGCTATAGAGAGGAGGTGTGGCATTGAGGAAGGGCTCAAATACCTTTTATTATTGCAAAACTAAGCTTCAGAAATGTAAAAAGGTCAAAGGGGAAAGCTGACCGGACTCTCACCAAGGTAGAGCTGGAGTGATGCTTTTACTTGAGAGCAGGGCCTGTGTCATATGTATGTGCTGCTGCTTTTCCCTCCTTCAAACCTGGAAGAGAACTTCAACTTGAAGTTTGCACAGAAGTTTGCAGGAGCATGGGACAAGATGTCTAGTCTCCGCTGTGCCATTATAACCTTCTATGACCCTAGGAAAGTGATTTCTCTTCCCTATGTATTTTCCTCATCTGCAAAGTAATGAAGAAGTGAATGGTCTCTAAGCTCTGTGAGTCTTATTAACAGGCCGGGGTGAGAAGCAGGATTTGGAAAGGCCCTGACAGCGAGGGCTGCCCATGCTTTCCCTAGTCTGGAAGCTCTGAGAGCTGGGAAGGTACGACAAGGCCTCTGATGGCATCACTGTGCTTGTGTGGCTCTGCAGGTACGGCAAGCGCGTGGCAGATGTCAAGGAGAGCAAGGAGTATGTCATTGCGAACAGGTAAGGTGGGAAGCACGTTCTACAAGAGGGGAGGGACTCGGTGCCTCTCCTGACCTCTGTTCTCACCTGAGACACCCTCAGTTTCTGTACTGTATTATTCCTTCAAGAACCCCCAAAGTTGCTATTGCTTCACATTGTGTTTTCCGACCAAGTCTTGCTTTAACGTTGAACCTTCTCCTGCCTGACGCCCTTTCCTGAATGCAGGCTCCTCCGCACTGCCTTTCAGCGATCTTAAGGGGAGCGGAGAGGTGATATTCTTTGGTTTCCTTTCTCAGCGGCCAGTTTCATTGTCAGCGGCGGCAGTTTCTGCGGATGGCAGTGAAGGAGCTGGAGACTGTGCTGACCGATGAACCAGGGCTGCTGGGTCCCAAGGCAAGAGCAAGCAGTGTTGGGAGGGGACTGATGACCAGTGGTAAAAGATTCTCTCTGGGGAACGACTAAGTATTCATGAGTTTTTGCCTTTCCCAGTCTTTTGTGATCTATTTGTATAATTATATACGATTTCTTTGACTCTTACTGGGAACCCCCAAAACTTTGTATCTTTCCTTTTTTTTTCTAACCCTGTCATAGTATATAATGCATTTTAGCCATTGTGTACTTATCTTACCCTCTGTTTGAGGATGAACTAATTAAGGCAGAGTTTGCTTTTATTTTAACCATGGAAATGCCTAGTGAATATTTCTGAAATTTAATTTGATAGGGAGGAAAGGGTATTGATTATGAGCTAATGTCAACATTATGTCCATCTGATTCTGTGTCATAGTTTTTTTGTGGGTCTGTGATTTTTATTGGGCACTATTGTTGGTGTGGCTAAAAATTGTATCCATATGGGTACTCTCACGACAATTTCTCTGTGCTTTGAAATTCACTTTTAACTTTGAAAATTCTCATAGTCCTTTCCTTCCCTTAGGCCCTGTTTGCTTTCGTGGCCCTGTCCCTCATTCGTGATGAGGTCACCTGGCTGGTTCGTCACGCAGAAAATGTCACTAAGACAAAGACTCCGGAGGACTATGCTGACTCGTTAGTACTTGACATGGTTAAGAACCTTGACCTTCAGTGGGATTGGGGGAAGGGACGGGGAGCCATCACATGACCTCAGAGCCTCAGTTTCTGCCCTGTTATCACGGTCTCTGTCTCAGTTCATATTTCTAGTCTCATACATCTCTCTGTTCGCATCCTCGACTTGGTAGGAGCATTGCAGAGCTGCTTTTCTTATTGGAGGAGATTAGGGCTCTGGTCCGAAGACACGTCAAAGTGATCCAGAAGTACCACCTTCAGTACCTGGCCAGATTCGATGCCCTTGTGCTCAGTGATGCCATTCAAGTATGTTTCATTGATAATGATTAGTGTGATTCCTGGTGATTCCCCCTGCAGACCCACTCCAGATCTCATGGTCTATCTGTTGTGTGTCAAAGTGCCTGCTTTTCCCTCTACATTTGTTAAAAGAAAATGGACAAATAACCTCAGCAGCCTTTTTCTTTTTTAATACATGAAGCTACATAGAAACAGGAGAGAAAAAGAAAGAGGAATTGGGTGCTGGTGTGGCGGGGGACCCAGGAAGTTTGCTCCATCTCTTGCTGGATTCTTGCTGTTTGTGACACTCAGTTCTTCACCTTCATACATGGGCTTGAGCCTGGGGGTCCTTGTTTCTGTCCTGGTGGAACATATGCCCCCTTGATGGTAACTCCAACTTCTCTTTTAGAACCTTTCTGTGTGTCCTGAGGAGGAATCCATCATCATGTCCTCGTTTGTCAGCACTCTCTCCTCTCTGAATCCCAAACAAGGTTAGTGGAGGGCAGTGGAAGAGGCAGGGTATGTGTGTGGGGGAACTTTTTTTCTTTCTGGAAATACTGACCTGTTGGGGTCAGGGATGGGACAAGATGACTTTGAAGAGTACCTATCATTCTGTGCAGGTGGATATTAGGCTGCTGTTTTATTTTTTTCTTTAACCATCTGTTTTTCTTACAGTTGATAATGGAGAGAAATTTGAATTCTCTGGATTGAGGCTGGACTGGTTCCGCCTGCAGGTCGGTCTGTTCCTGTTAATAGTCCCTCATTCTCAGGCTCTTCCCTCTCCCCGACCCCATCTCTTTTTACCACCTCAATTCTGCTATATGGAGCAATTCAACACAGAAAACCAATTATTGGACAGGATAAACCCCAGTCTAACTGTAGCCCCAACACTGGGTGTCCTTTTTATTGATCTTGTTTTTCTCCATCTTTTACTCAACTCCAACCATAGGCGTATACCAGTGTGGCTAAGGCGCCCCTGCACCTGCATGAGAACCCCGACTTAGCCAAGGCCATGAACCTCATCATCTTTCACTCCCAAATGCTGGACTCAGTAGAGAAAGTGTTGGTGGAAACTTCAGACCTGTCTACTTTCTGGTATGTCCTCATTCAGAATTATTTTAATATTTTTAATTTTTAAAATTTTTTTATTATATATTTTATTTTTATATTCCCCATACAATTGCAACCCCCTTATTTTGACCCCAATTCCTCCCCTCCCCGCCCCCACCTCCCATAGAGTGTCTCTGGTTCATAGTTGTTTGTTGATTTTGATTTTTACTTTCAGAATTCTTTTTAAAGTCACTTGACCTCTTGCCGGGCTGAAACCAAGCAAACCTGGCTGGTGGGTCCTCCCCCTTGTGCTTATGACTACAGGACATGACCCCAAAGCAGGCCCAGTGTGAAACAATCACAGGATTTATTTACACAAGGAGGGGGAAGATGGGGGAGGGGCAAGAGTTATAGGCTGGCACATGGCGAGACACGTCTGTCTTTCCCCTCATAGCATCCACCCAGCAGAGACTGAGGTCCAAGCCAAAGCGATATGTAACAAGCTGGTGGCTTCTCCATAGACACCCCTTCTCCCCAGCAGTGTAACTTCCAGAAGCCCAGCAGCTTAACTGGTCAAAAGCCCCAGCAGTTTAACTTCCCCCAAACCTCAACAGTTGAACTGTCAAAAGCCCTAGCTGCTTAACTGCCAGAAGCCTCAGCTCACCCCTGTTTCTCGTCAGCCCCTGCTTAGGGGGTTTGAGAAGCGCCATCTCTTAGCATCAAGTTGCGTCAGCTCTACTTTCTATCATCAGTTTGTCTGTGAGCACCTCCTGCTGACCTGGAGGTTGCTCCTCACTATTTCTCATACATAGCTTTGGTGTAATTCCCCAAGACAGAGGAAAATTCTTGTTTTCTTTGTGATTGCCTTAAAGGGAGATGTTTAAGCTAAATAGCTCACTCATTTCAGTTGCTACCAAGTGATGGAACATGAAGTTGATTCCTTTTGGTTCTGGTTTTCTTTAGGAAAGCCATTTGGGTACTGTACAGCCTTCCCTGCTTGGGGATCACTCATCAATGCATCAGTCCATTTTCCCCTCACTGCTATCTTTAGAACCTTATTTAGTTTTACTTATTTTTGGGATATTGGACTTAAAAAGAGACATGGAAAATTTGGAGGTTTAGGGGAGATAACTGAAAGTAGTTGAGAGAGCTGGAGAATATGATCTTTAAAGATGAAAATTAGTTTTTCTTTAGGTATCGTTCACATATGCTAATGCTTACCACTGTTGTGCATAACTCTGCCATTTGTGGGATTAAACAGCAATACAATGTTATCTCTGTTCTCTGTAGTCATTGTAGGTGTGAAAAGGACATCAATGCAGTAATTACAAATGTAAGGAGTGTGACAAGAGAGAGCATGAAGTTGAGAGGATATAAGGTTGAGAAAAATCAGTCTCATAAAATTAATCAGTTTTTCTGGAACCTGACCATCAAAATTTGAGAGGGATGTAAATTAGTACAATAGATTCCAGCTTTATGATTTGTCCACTGTACCATCATATCACTTTACCAAGAGTCCTCTCTATTAAAATATAAATCACTTTATGATTTAATATTCACCATGTGATTGCTGCCAACTGGACCCTGTGAGTGGGACATCTGTGGGCAGAGCATTTGAATAACTATTAGCATATGAGCAATGACCATGTGTTTATCCAGTTTGACAATCTTTGGTTTCATGGGTTCATGGTTTTTTATTTTTTAAAGATTTTTATTTTATTCATGCATACAAGAGCTGGGGTGTAGGCCAGAGGTCCTGTGGGGCAGGGTTGGAACATCCACCAGAGACAGAGTGGGGAGTAGAAGAGGTGATTTGACTGAAATACACTGCTGAGGGGAGCAGCGGGCAAGACAGGAGAGGTCCGCTGTGCCATGTTGGTCACCTCCCTGGCCAGGGATTCAACTCATTCTGCAGTGGCTGTGGATAGCTTCATAGTGGCTGAGACTTAACTCCTGGGAAGCCCCTTAAATTTTTTTAACTTTACTTTTTTTGAACCAGGCAAGGCTTTATTACGGGAGCCATGCATGAGGGAATTGGTGCACATTTTTTTTTTTCTAGTGAAGTATAGAAGTGTTTTGGTTTTTATTTTATTTTATTTTTTTTTAAGATTTATTTATTTATTTATTTATTTATACAAGCACTGGGTACAGTCAGAAGCGCGGGAGGGTGAGAGCATTCACCAGAGCCAGAGCGGGGAGCAGAGCAGGCAGAAGGACCGAAGGACACTGCTGAGGGGAGCAGCGGGCGGCAGGAGAGGTCTGCGCGCCAGGTGGGACCCTCCTCCGGTGGCCGGGGAGCAGCTGGGGATCAAACCGGCGCTGCAGAGGCCGCGGGCAGCTTCGCAACCCAGCGCTCAACCGCTGCGCCACCGGGGAGGCCCAGAAGTGTTTTGGTTTTTAGTCTTTATGTATCTTGTGGTTATTGGTTACTAAGTGGTTATTGTTGGGTTGTGTAAAAATATTGTGCTAAACTGTACTTATGGACCATAAAAAGAGTATTAAAAAGGAAATTTTAATTAAATCAAAACCAGAAATTATAAAAAAGTATGATGATGATGATGAGGTGAAGTTAGTGAATTAGTATGAATTAGTATGAGAATTGGTTTTTCCCATCGACTCCATTATCACACTGTACGTGGTGTTCAAATAACCTTTTCCAATTTAAGTTACTTATTTTTAATTTCGTTTTTTAATATCAAGAAAAATGAAAATTTCTCAGTATTGTTTTATTGTACACATCAACATTTTATATAAGCTTAGTTACATGCAGAAATTTTCAAGTTACACTGTCTTAAATGAATTATGCAGTATTAATGTTTCATTGGGCTCACATTACAGTATTTTCATTATATGATCATGTCTGTAGAATGGATTAGGATGGTAGGATGGGGACTACTGTACTGAAGGATTTCTAAACTAGGAGGATGACCTGAATCATACTGAGAGAGGAATAGCAGATTTTGTACAAGGGACGAAGGTCCTCACTTAACTGTCCTGGAATCCAGCATATAAGTGTCTGAAAGGATACATTTCTTGGGATCCTATCTATCTTAGGGGTAGGAAAATGAAGGAGGGAGTGGTGAATATCAATAAATATTTGTTGAAAGAATGAAAGAATGATACTTTCCATCTCAAAGGAAACAACTCCTAGTTTTAAGCTTCCTTCCCCTTTTCCTGCAGCTTTCACGTCCGTACCTTTGAGAAGATGTTTGCTATGACCCTGGAGGAACCTACCATGCTGCGTTATGCCATTGCTTTCCCCCTGATTTGTGCTCATTTTGTCCACTGCACTCATGAGATGTGCCCAGAGGAGGTGTGTACCCTGAACTCCAAGGCTTGTCGTTTCTAGTAACCTCTCATCCTTATTCTTGACTTTGGTGGCTCAGGCCCTGGGTGTCAGAGCTGTGTCACAGGGACAGTATGTCTGCCTTGTGATGCTACTTTCTTCCATGGTTCCTTTTCCCAATAGTACCCCCACCTGAAGAACCATGGCCTTCATCGCTGCAATTCCTTCCTGGAGGAGTTGGCCAAGCAGGCCAGCAACTGTGTCCTGGAGATCTGTGCTGAGCAGCGCAACCTGAGTGAGCAGGTGGGCCCCGTCCGCTGTCTGTTCAGTCTCGCCTTTCTCCTCTCTTGGCGGCTTCCCTGCTTCCTTCCTTTGTCTTCCTTCAAATGCCAAGTGTTCGAATTCTTTCTCTCAAGTAGGTAGGGCTTGGTGGGCTTGAATTTATGGTAGGCTTTTTCCCCCTAAGTATAGTCCCTTCAATCTTTACTCTCTTAGGAGTAGATAGAGGCGTTTAAAAATATTCTTGTTCGGGGCCTCCCCGGTGGCGCAGCGGTTGAGTGCTGCGTTGGGAAGCTGCCCGCGGCCTCTGCGGCGCCGGTTCGATCCCCGGCTGCTCCCCGGCCACCAGAGGAGGGTCCCACATGGCGCGCAGACCTCTCCTGCCGCCCGCTGCTCCCCTCAGCAGTGTGCTTCGGTCCTTCTGCCTGCTCTGCTCCCCGCTCTGGCTCTGGTGAATTCTCTCACCCTCCCGCGCTTCTGACTGTACCCAGTGCATGTATAAACAAAAAACAAACAAACAAATAAATAAATAAAACAAACATGCGTCTATAAAAAAAATGTAAAATGAAAAAAAAAAATTCTTGTTCGAATAGCTGCATCTGTCTCATTTGAAGAATTCCAAGAGATGAATTGATTTTCTAATGCGCTTCCCTTCAGCTCTGTGTACACACACTTAGGACAGTGGCCCCCCTCCAGATCACCCTCCTTGCCTCGCTTGTCTGTCCATCTGCAGCCTCATCTGTGGTTTTCTGAATGTTTTCAGGCTCTCTCCTGTGTTTATCCTCAGGGCTGCTTTCTTGTCCTTGTCTGCTTGTTTTCCTCTCCCTTGACTGACTCACAGCACCTGGTCAGGATTTGTTCAACCTAAATTTCAGAAAAATTGAAAATAAGGAAATTAATCTGCTGTTGCCCTGAAGTCTTTTAGGTTTCCCAGACTACCCACTCGTCTTGGGTTTGAGTCAGGCTTTGTCCAGCTGTGGTAGGAAGGAGCTGGTGTGTGTGTGTGTGTGTGTGTGTGTGTGTGTGTTTATATTCACAGTTATATTAATCCTTAACTTTTCCATTTGTTCAGATGTAAAAGGGGGCTAAAAGTAGTTTCTTTATGGCGATATCATAAAGATTACATGAAAAAGTATGCCAAAGAGTTGGTAGGCAATTTTCAATAGATGTTAGCTGTTGTACAATTGGCTGCTTAATAGGCACCAGGCCCTAAACTGGGTTTTTGGGAAGGAAGCACACAGTACTGGCCCTTGGGGAATGTCCCAGTTTAAGAGAAAAAGGAGCTCAAATACAGTTTTGAAAAAAATTTAAATAATAAATGCAAGGAAGATACACAGACAAGTAAAATTGTGGGGATAGTCATCACTCAGTTTGAATCCTTCTCTCATGCTGGGGCAGAGACGTGCTCAGTGCTGTGTCAGAGATGCCTCACATGCAGTGTGAGTCATGTTTTCAGATGCACCAGAACTTTTGCAACCAGATGAGTGTTGCTTCCTCTAAAGTTTTCATTTTGAATAAATAATGAATGATGTTGCCATTACTAACAGAGTTAAAGTTTTTGGAACGACTTTCGGACTCTACTAAGACACTTTGGCATGATTTCAGGTTGCTGCATCTTTGTCCGTCAAGGTGGACTGGAATTTTTGAAATAGTGGGAGTTTGAACTTAAACTAAATGTGACTATAACAGAACCAGTTTCTCTTGGCTCTTACGCTGTTCTGAGAGTAATTCCAAATGTGGTGTAGGCAGACCTGCTCTGTGTGTGCCCGGCAGCACAGGAGTCAATGCAGACACGTCCAAGGTGATTACCTTGAAGGAGAAATCTGAATATATAATTCTAGTTCACGTCTTCTGTACAACAAGCTCGGTAACTTGGTGAAGAGAAGAGGTGCAGGATTGACATTTAAATGAAGTAGCAAGAAATGTGATGGCTTACTTAAAAAGGAGGGAAAGTATGCAGGCCATTCTCTGAGCTCTGAATGTTTGGAGGGCGGTGGCAGTTGAGTGACTGTCTTCCAGAACACGAGGAAATGGCACCAGTGAGATGGTGGCTCTAGACCAGCAAAAAAACAAACGTCTTCCCGGGATAGAGGATCCTAGAAAGTGCAGTTGAGTGGAGCTCTCAGCTGTTTTTCTTTTTCCTTGAATATTTCCACCAGGAGACACTCTCAGCGTGTGGTTGGGTATTGATGTCCAATTCCTGAAAGACTGCCGTCTTGAGATTCTGAGTCTAATTATGGGGAGATAAATAATGAAAACTGAGAGGCAGCACATTCCAAATAGGCCCCACCGGAGAAAGAGATGTAGGGAAGGAAAACGAGAGAAAGGCAGAAAGATGAAAGGCAGACACTGGAGAGGCCTTTCATAACTCTTAGCTGGGCGTCTCGGCAGCTGTAGGAAGGACCCTCACTTCTCCACTCACTCGTGTTCGTTTCTGAAGCTTTTACCTAAGCACTGCGCCACGACCATCAGCAAGGCCAAGAACAAGAAGACCATGAAGCACAAGCAGACTCCCAGAAAAGGAGAGCCCGAGAGGGACAAGCCGGGAGCGGAGAGTCACCGGAAGAACCGCGGCGTCGTCACCAAGTGAGGACTGGGGCCTAGAAGGCCAAGTGGCCGCTGAAACCCAGCAGCAGTGGCGGGAAGGACAGATACAGGAAGGCACTTACCTGTGAATTTTCTCCTTTGCCCTTGGGGTCAGCATCAGCATGTACCTGTCCGGGCTGAGTAGTCTGAGGAGGTGAAATGGTCTGAGGGTTATGAGCCAAACAAGGCCGTGCCAGACCGTAACTAAGGCTCATTTACTTTCTCATTTTTCCCCAGCATGGACAAGCTCCACTTACACCTGACAGAGTTAGCGCTGACAATGAATCATGTGCAAAGCTTCTCTGTGTTCGAACACACTATCTTCCCTTCGGAGTATCTCAGCAGCCACCTGGAAGCCAGACTCAACAGGTATCACTTGTTCCTTGTCCCTGTGCTTGTATCTTTGAGTCCCGTGAGATCCATCGTGGTGGTGATGCCACGCGCTGGAGGATCCGAGGCAGAAGCCTCAGACCAAAAGTCCCAAGCGTCTCAATTAAAAGCAAATGAACAAAAAAAGCCCCAAACCTCCTTAGGTGGTTTGAACAGCCAGAATTGATCATCGCTGACTTAGCAGGGCGAGCGGGGCCTTTGTAGTCGGTTGACCCATGTTGCCATCCTTCACACCAGCCAGGATACAGAGTTGGGTGTCTAACGTGTTAGAATCTTAGTTTCCTGCCTTATAATGTGAGACTTCTGATACTCTCCTTATAGACAGACAGATAGTTGAAAATTACCAGTAATTGAGACTTGGTAGAGAATTAGAAATGACAGTGAGTGCAAAGTTCCTGACATGTAATAGGCCTCAATAAAATACGTTCCCTTGCCTTGGCCTTGCTTCCTCATTTTATTGCCCCTTAACGTAGGAGGAACATTTCCCGTGTATTGAATCGGGCAGTGCAGTTAGGGCAATAAAGGAAAGAATTATAATGAATAATCCCTGTAGTTTTCTGTTTTGCTTTGGAATATATACTGTGTTCACTCACTGCGTCGAGCAGCTGCTGTCTGTCAGCAGTATTCTAGAACTGTTCATACAGTAATATGCAAAACAGATAAAAATCCCTGCCTTCCTAAAGCTTACCTTCCAGGGGGGGAGATAGACAAAGAATGTAAAAAAGTAGAATATGTAGTAGGCTAGACAGTGGTAGACGCTAAACAGAAAAAAAGCAGGGCAGGGGAATAGCATGTGGGGGGCAGATTTACAGAGGCTGGCGGTGCAGGCCTGCTTGATGGAGTGCGCTCCTGAAGAAGCCAGGAAGCCACGTGTGTGACTATCCAAGAAAGAGCATTTGGGGTGGAGCATGGCTCTGAGGTGGGAACCTGTCTGGTGTGTGTGGGGGATGTGGAAGGGGCCGGTGTGGCTGGAGCAGAATGGGCCTGGGGAGACTCGTAGGCCATGAGGGTCGCGGTTCAAGGAGTGCAGACTGTGTAGGCGCTTCTCTGTCACTGTCTGGCCTTTGGTTTTTCTTTTGAATGAGGCGGGGAGCTTTGGCGGGGCTTGAGCAGAGCAGTAGCACAATTTGACTCAGCGTTTCAGTAGCATCACGCTGGCCGCGAGGGGACAAGGGCAGAAGTGGGGAGAACACGTGGGGGTCTGTGTTTTCTTTGTAGGAGTTGCAGGTTTATTTTTCAGTTTACTTAACAGGAAAATTAGTTTGTTTTTATTCCATACACACTCGCCACGTGCAAGGAAGTGTCTCAGGTGCTTCTACAGCCTCAAGAGGGTATCAATTTGGTGATTGTCTTTGCAAAGCTTCAGAAGCTGTTGGTAGTTTCCAGGTTGGACCAGGATGGGGTGATAGTCCTGTCTCCCTGGATATCTGACATACTTTCTTCACGGATGTCGTTCCTAAAGCCCCAGGTCTGGGCTAGAGGTTTGGCCTGAGGAAAACCTCTAAGGTAGATTAGGCTGGTCCTGGTCTCTTCTGAATTTTTCTCCCTCAAGTGGTGCCTCCTCTCTGGAGGCAGCCCCTCCAATTTCCTTCCCTTCTCTTGACATAAATATTTTGCCAAAAACACAAAAGGAAGGAAAAATTCCCCAACATCCGTGGCTTTAGAAAGACTCTGATAAACCCATTCATACTGAGGGATAAATAATGAGATGACAAAGTGTTGTTGACAAAGTGTGAGGTTCCTCTTTCCTTTACTTATATCCTAACAAGGAGAAAAACCTCAAGTCAAAGTTCTGACTCTAATTGTGAATTGTCAGATTCCTGGGGAAGGTATTTTTTTAAAAGATTGATTTTTATTTATGCATACAAGAGCTGGGGTGTAGGCCAAAGGTGTTGGGGGTGAGAGGATTCACCAGAGACAAAGAGTGGGGAGCAGAACAGGTGGATCCACTGAAATCCACTGCTGAGGGGAGCAGCAGGCAAGATAGAGGTCTGCTGCGCATGTCAGTGAACTCCCTGGCTGGGGATCGAACTCATACCACAGTGACTGGAGATAGCTTCATAGTGCTGAGACTTTAACCCCCACACCACCAGGGAGGCCCTGGGAAAGGTATTTTGGAAGGAATTGGAGGTGCAGTGGGGAGGTGTTCCTCCTGTGTCCCTAACATACAGGATGGACAATTGTTCTGCTTCTCAAAGGGTAGTTGAACTGCATCCAGCCAGATGTGCTCTCCAACCAGCCTGGCGTCTGCAGCTGCTCAGCATGGCATGGCACGTCCAGGGGTCGCTGGGTGTGCCTTTCCATTTCTGACAGTGACTTGAGCTAATTCTTCCCAAGGAGAAGACACACGTGCTGGCCTGAATTCTTCCCAAGGAGAAGACACACGTGCTGGCCTGAGCCCGCAGGTGCGTGAGCCCTCGGGCAGACGGCAGGGAAGCCTAGGATTTCTACCACTTGACCGCATTTCTCCAGAGGAGGCAGAAGAGCCTAGTGGTTAGGAGTCAAATGTTATTAGAGTCACGTGTGTGAATTATTGCTGTTTCAGTGTCTTCATCCATAAAATGGGGATAATATACCTACCTCAGTGGGTTGCTGTGAGGTTCAAATGAGGTAATGTGTGTAGTAAATCATAGCACAGCATCTGGAACACGGTATAAATGCCACTACTGTTACTATGTTTGTCATTGTGATTGTAATTATGCGTTTTCTTGCCCAGAGCCATCGTGTGGCTGGCTGGCAATAATGCCACAACCCAGGAGATTGCAAGACCTTCTGAGCTGTTGGCAGGAGTCAAGGCCTACATCAGTTTCATACAATCGCTGGCCCAGGTTTTGGGTGCAGATGTTTCCAGAGTCATCCGCAATGCCCTCCTGCAGCAGACGCAGCCTCTGGACTCGAGTGGGGAGCAGACGATCACCACTCTCTACACAAATTGGTCAGTGTTACTTATATTCTCCACTGCCTTACTTCTTGTCAGTGCTTCTTCCTTCCGGTAGGCCTTCAAGGCCCAAGTGTTTTAGTGACAAGGGTCATAGACCCCCAAAGGGAATCTTATTTCTGCTCGAGGATTAGAGTAATAAAGCTGATCTCCCCTCAGGAGGTTTCTTTCTAACCTTCATGTAACATCTGTCCACCCAACTAGTAGCAATTGGACTTTTCTTTCTTTTTAATCTTCAGTTCTAGCCTTTTCTGGATTCTTGTGTTTTAATTTCAAGCAATATCACGTCCTCTTTCTGAAGTTCTTATTTCTTCGCCCAGCCACTTCCTCTGAATGCCATTCTAATGCCATCTCTCCCCCATCTCTCCCTCGGAGCTATGACCACGTTGACTTTAGTAGGCTAGTAGGTTGTTCTTAATATGACAGGGGTGGGGCGGGGAGGGGGTCCTCTCTCTCCCCAAACCAGAGGTGTAGAAATCAGCAACGTTTCTTTTGAGATTTTAAGAATGGAACAGACCTGGAGTCCTACCTGCCCAAACCGCTGGGTGGCGCTCTTAATCCAATATCAGCTCAGCAGGCGCCGGCAGAGACGCCCCTAAGTAGGGGGAAAGACTAAGCCAAGGTTTGCAAATCAGATGCCTGCCGGGGCCAGGTAGGTAAAAAGTGGGCATTGTGGCCTGTGTGGGGACTTCGAGCAGTGGCCAGGGTATACTCCTCTAGCAGGGTCAGCCACCACTTAGCTTTGCCTGGTTGCTGCCCCACTAACTCCTTATTTTTAATGTCACAGTTTTGAAACTGATTTTATAACTAATTCAGCTAAATGGGAAAAAGAACCCCGCATTTGATGGCTAGGCTTGGACCACCTGCGGTTAACTTGTGACTCCGGTAAGACCAAGGCCAGAGCCTATGCCGGGGTGAGTGGCAGGGACTGGCAGAGCCCTCCTCTGCTGACACTGGCTGGAGGTCAGTCTCCTCGCTCACCCGCACAGGAGGGGCTGTCTGGAGGCTGCATGACCAGTGTCCACAGGCGTCGCTCTCAGAGGTTTGGCTGGAGACTCGCTTCTAGCACCCTAGTCCTCAGTCCAGTGTCCTCCAAAGAGAGTTTGAGGCTAAGTATATTTCAGAGGTGCCCAATTCATAGGATTTTTTTTTCTTTTTTTTTAAAGATTTTATTTATTTATGCATACAAAAACTGGGGTGTAGGCCAGAGGTGTGGAGCAGGGGGTGAGAGGATACACCAGAGAGAGTGGGGAGCAGAACAGATGGATCCCCTGAAATACACTGCTGAGGGGAGCAGCGGGCGAGACAGGAGAGGTCTGCTGCGCCATGTGGGTCACCTCCCTGGCCGGGTTTTGAACTCATGCTGCAGAGGCTAGTGATAGCTTGATTGTGCTGAGACTTAACCCCTGCACCACCAGGGAGGCCCAGGAACTTTTTTCTTGCCAGAGTTGATCTTTTTTTCTTGACAAAAAGGCCAGGATGAGGGGAGTGAGGCGGCTGGAAAGAGCAGGGGCTGAGGGCGGCTGCACATGCCAGCACGGCACGTCCCTGCAGACTGGGGGGCGAAGCAGGAGCACACTACTGCCAGCTGTTTTGAGACAGCGGTTTGGGGTGCTAATTACAGTGTTGTACTCTTTTTTGAGTGTCATTCCCCACCCTGGCCTTTGCTGCTCTTCCTGCGCCCAGTGGTGGTGGAAGGGAACAGTAGAAGGGAGAAAGGACTGAACACTAATCTGTGCTTCCTTCCCAACCCGCCAGGTACCTGGAGAGTCTGCTTAGACAGGCCAGCAGCGGCACCATCCTCTTCTCCCCAGCCATGCAGGCCTTCATCAGCCTCCCCAGGGAGGGGGAGCAGAACTTCAGTGCGGAGGAGTTTTCTGATGTCTCTGGTGAGTCCAGGGCCTGGTCTCCTTGTCAAGGAACCGAGCCTGTCCCCGCAGGACACTGTCTCAGCCCACAGACCCCATCTAAATTCGTCTACCTTCCCAGGGGCTCGATCTGCATCCTCCTCAGCGTCTCTGCTGGACGCCACCTGAGGGCCACAGAAAGAGGCCGGCGTGTGAGACCCAGAGCTGGGCAGCGGGCTGAGGGTTGAGGCGCAGAGGGGAGTGGAGAGGAGCAGGACTTAGGCCAGTCACTGAAAGCGTTTATTCTTTGAAGGGTAGTCAATTGTTAGTTTCCATTTCCACAAAGAATAAAAGAGTAGCGGTTCTCCCCGGTGGCGCAGCGGTTGAGCGCTGGGTTGCGAAGCTGCCTGCAGCCTCTGCAGCGCCAGTTCGATCCCCGGCTGCTCCCCGGCCACCGGAGGAGGGTCCCACATGGCGCGCAGACCTCCCCTGCCGCCCGCTGCTCCCCTCAGCAGTGTCCTTCGGTCCTTCTGCCTGCTCTGCTCCCCGCTCTGGCTCTGGTGAATTCTCTCACCCTCCCGCGCCTCTGACTGTACCCAGTGCATGTATAAATAAATCTTTAAAAAAAATAAAAAAAATAAAAGAGTAGCGCATATCAGGTGGGATAAAGGATGACGCATAAGGCTTGGAATGGCCGCCTCAGGCTTGGAATTACTAAACAGTGGTCTGGTGTCGCAGCATCTTCTTCCTTGGGGGTAAAGTTTAGCGCCTCAGCCAGTGCTTAGATTGCTGGCGTTTAACGATGATGATAAGCTAGTGAGCGGATGGCTGCAACGTGGGCCGGGTCCTACATGTTCGCGTGTGTTAACTCAGTCCTCACAGCGGCCTTGGGCACGTGTCTCAGCACAGACACGGAGGACACACAGAGAGGACCTTGTCTAGGGTCACAGGTTCATCAGTGGTAGAGCTGGGATTTCGACTCTTCCAGAACCAGGAGCTTAACCACCCAGCGGTGCGCTTCCCAGTGGAGAGAAGCTTTCGTGTCTCCAGGTGGGGGACGGGGTGAGGAGTGTGTCGTGAATGGGCTGGGAAGTCATTCTCTTCAAAGAGGGCTCGAAACCATACAGAGTCTTTTCAATTGAGTTGTTTTACCGTCTGATTCATGAACTATCCTGCTGCTTCCTCCTGCCCTCACCTTCATTTAAATCCTGGCTCCTGCATGGGATCTGGGCGCGTAGGGGATGGCTCAGTGACCCGACCCTCTCCTGGGGGGTGTTATGAAAGCCGGGATACACAGCGTGTGTTCCAGCTCTGCCTCCTTCTTACCTCATCCCAACTCCATCAGTAAGCTGACCCTACTCTTTACCTGCTGGAGGTTTCCATGTCCCCTTCTCATCAGCTCCACCCACAAGCTGTAGGCAGCATCTAAAATCAGCTCTAGGTCTTGCTGACAAGTGACAAGCAGCAGGAGGTAATGCTGATTTCCCCTTCTACCACCCCACCCCAATTTCCTTGGGTTGCCATGGTGATGGGGCAATGCTACTACAAAAATAGATAGATGGCAGGAGAAGGATGCCCTCCTAGCCTGGGGTGGAGGAGACGACAGTGAGGGGGGTTGGCAGACCCAAGCTGGTAGATCAGTGTGTGGCCCCTTGATCCGCTGTGGAGAAGACCGTCGGCCCCTCTGCCTCTCTGCAGCCACTTTAGCATTATCTAAGTGGACCAGTTACGAAGTTCTCTTCTAATTCTCAGCTCACTTCTCACTGTCAATGGGGGACTTCAAAGATGTCTGGTGGCTACTGCAGGCGAGGTGCTGTGTCGGCTGCTCTGACCACTTCCACCTCCTGTCATTGGTGGAGCCGGAGATCAGCGGGCCCTGCCTTCAGAGACTTGCATGTGGAGCCTTGATCTCTGCTCTCTGGACTCACGTTTCTTCTCCTGGCCACTTTGTTGTTACTTCTGGTCTTCTGGGGTTGTCTGCTGGGAGGGCCGGCGGCCAGAGGTCATAGCTAGAGTTCCTCTTGCTTCAGTTTGTTGCTAGTGTCTCTGATCTGGCATTTCCCCAGGCGGATTTTACTTAATTTGCAAAGGGCCAGAGGCAGGCTGGGCATGAAGAATAGGCATTGGGGGAGACTAGAGAGAAGGATTTAGAGGAAAGAACAGTGGGGGTGTGTATTGATTATGAAAAGAGAGAAGGAAAACTTAGATAGCGAGGGATTAAATAAGAGAAGTGGAAGGAGGAGGAGAAAAAGTCAGACCTTAGAGAAGGAAATGGTGTGGTGTCTGCCAGGACAGAGTTAGGGGCAGTGGGGCATTGCCAGAGCTTTCCCGAACCAGGCCTTGACTTGGTTAAGTGACCTTGGACAAGCACTTAAACCCTCGTGTCTGGTAAACCAGGATGATATCTAGGTCTCGTGCCTTAGAGGACTGTTACTAATTATAATTATAATTCCTTATTATTTCTATAATATATATAATCCCTATCGTTGTCTGAGGTTTTTATAATATAGTATCTTATTCATTTTCTTATCAACTCTGTGAAATAGGGGAGATTAATTTCTTCATTGTGCAGAGAAGTAAACCGAGGCTCAGTAACTGAAGATGTTACGTCTAATGAAGTTAGTACGGCTTGTCCAGCAAGAGTAAAGCCCAGATGCCATGTAAAGGGACTTGGAAAAATATGGTTTCTCATAAGAATGTAAATGAACAGTTGTCATTTGTGTTACGTCTTGGTGTGGGCACCCGTGGGGAGAGAGAGCCGTCCCACAGGCCGGACCTGTCACCTGAACGCAAGATTCCAGGCCACTTTTGCTCCCAACTTCCCACTTCCTTTCCTTGCGGAACAACCTAGAACACTGTTCAGATGCTCAGTGAGTCTGAGTCCCACTGGGACCCCTGTAACTCTGTTCCAGAGATGCGGGCCCTGGCTGAACTTTTGGGCCCCTACGGCATGAAGTTCCTGAGTGAAAACCTGATGTGGCACGTGACCTCCCAGATTGTGGAACTGAAGGTTCGCTGGAAGGGGTGGGGACGGAGGCCCAGCCGCAGGGCACGGGGTAGCAGCGGGAACCTGTTGGAGGGGGGAGTAGGGGAGTGTTTTAATGGCTTCTGTTCTTCTCCTGCTCAATGTCTCTGTGTGCCAACTGCAGAAGCTGGTGGTGGAAAACATGGATGTCCTTGTTCAGATCAGGTCCAACTACAGCAAGGCCGACTTGATGGCTTCTCTGCTGCCCCAGCTGATGGGTGAGCACCTTCCTGGAAGGGAGAAAGGATTGCCGAGGACAGGCATTTGGGGTGACCCGGATCTGGGTCTGAAGAAGCAAAGCCATCACTATTCTTCTAACTTCTCTTCTCCCCTCAGGGGCGGATAATGTGCTGAAGCGCATGACCATCATTGGTGTCATCCTCAGCTTTAGGGAAGTGGCCCAAGAGGGACTTCGGGAGGTGAGCTGAGGGAGAGGGTGCTGCCACAGAAACGCAGACACCTCTGTGGGTCGGGGTGGTGTGAGAAGGCGTGGAAAGGTTGGTGAGCTGTGAGGAGAGGAGCTCAATTTGCTAGAAGTCCTGGGTGATCTCTGGGGAGGGACGGGCTGAGGAAGCCTGGAGACTGGAGTAGTGGGGTGCTGTGGGAGGCTGGCTCGTTTCTCATCTAAGCCAAAGGCCATTTTTTTTTTTTTTTTTTCCCAATTCCACCTGTCTCTGAAGGCCCTGACCGCTGTCCTGTGGACTAATTTGTCTTTCTCCTCCAGGTTTTCTCCTCCCATTGCCCCTTTCTTATGGGCCCCATTGAGTGCCTGAAGGAGTTCGTCACCCCGGACACAGACATGAAGGTACGGGGGCGTGCAGAGTGGAATCCAGTGAGGAGAGTTTTGTTGTGGGAAGGATGTCCTAGGACCCTGTGTGGGAGGGAGGGCTCTGAGGAATACTGCGGAGAGAAGAGTGGGATTTGAATAGGAAAGCCCTGGGGGAGACTTTGTGGAGAGAGGCCTTTGGTCAGGGGGTGTTCTTGGAGGGGGCAGAGTAGGGGAGCAGGGTAGGGGAGGAAGATAAGGGAGCCTGGTGCCCCATGTGAGTGGGGAGATGGTGTTGGAGGGGAGCATCTGCTCTGGGGATCACGCCTGCAAGTTTCCATCCAGGAATGCAAATTAGATGCTGACCTGTGTGCAGGTGAGTTCTTTAGTCAGGAGCTTAGGTGGTTTTTTTTTTTTTTTTTTTTGTAAAATGATTCCTCCCTTCCATTCCAACCCACACAGCTTGGCCTCAGTTTCCTTTCTTTTTCTGGCCCTTTCCTACTTGTGGAACTTTCTGGTTCTGTTACGGAGCAGCCCCGATATTAAACGGGTTCCTGGCTGTGGGTCCTCACCCGCGCGCTTACAAGGGACTTATGAATACTCCACTACAGACACACACAAAAGGTTCATAAAAGGTTTATTGACAAGGGAAAGGGAATTGAGGAAATGTACAACTCAGGGAGAAAATAGGGAAATAAAGTCTTTAATGCGTCCTACCCGATCCGGCGACCTGGAAACCCAAAGGCACTCTCAGAGCTGGCCGGAGCTGCGAGCTGGCGGAGAGCCAAAATGGGGGACCCCCTCAAAGCCCACGTGTCTGGTTTTATGCCAAACCTGGCTGCTTCACCCCACCCTCAGGTTCCAGCCACCTTCCCTTGGGTGGTGATGGGATTTGTCTCTCCCAATGTCCTCATGGCTTTGGTCTGGGGTCGGGGTGGAGTCCACAAAGCCTGTGTGGAATTAGCTTTAGGACAGCCTTTTCCCCCTAACAGTTCCTCTGTGTCCACGTCAGCTCTCTCAGGCCGCATTTACTGCAGAGGAAGACAGGGTTTTGCAGACCCCTCAAGTTAAACATCCATTCTCTGCCCACCCCCTCCCGCCTTTACATCATTTTGTTTTTCGACTCACCTGGAACAAACGCGTATGTTATTCAGGAAATACAGCTGGAGGTTGGGAACAAAGGCCTGCGGACCCAGAGGGCGGGCTCCTTAGGACTTAGGCCCGTTCCTCTGCTGGCGGGAGGTCAGTGATAAGAGCAAAGTGGTCAGCAGGAAGAATTAAAGTTACACAGTCAGAAAATTATTTTTACCTGGAAATAAGAAAAGTAGTGAAATTTCCTCCTCACTCCCTGAAATCAGATAAGGGTCATGGGGGAATTGTGGGGGGTGGGGGTGAGGTTTCTGTGGGACAGCTGCCCCTTTTGAATGGTCTGATTTTACAGTGAGTTTCTGGCAGCTGCTGAGCTGGGACGCAGAGCTCTAGCCTGTCAGGAGCTTGTCTGACTGGTATGTCCGGGAAGCTCTGCGCTGTCGGCCGCCTGCCTGTGAAAATAAGCAGGCGGGGCGGAGGGGGCATGGCCTGCTCATCAGAGATTCTGTTACTGCCTCAGAGGGGTGAGGAGATTTGGAGAGGCGAAAATAAGACCCCATGCAATTATCCCTTTTTTCTCCAGGAAACTACAGGGACCAGGCCTCCTCGGCCTCCTGCCACAAGGGGATCATCTAGTTAGGAGGGAATTTAAATAAAGGGCAGAGCAGACTGTGGCTATGGTTTGCCTCTGGCTCAAGTACCATAGGCAAAGTATATGTACTGTTCTGTCTGTGGGGCTTTCTGCAAAACATGCTCTTGGTTGTCTGCATGAAAACAATTATTCTTGCTCCCTCAGAACATTTTAGTCGTTTTTTTTTAACCTCAAATTTTTTTTTCTATTCCCCCTCCCCCCCCCCCCAGTTTGTCATGCTTCTTTATTTTCCCTTGTGAAAAGGGGGTTAAGTTCTTAAGTAAGTGGGAGTGGGGCTTTGGGGCTGCATCCTGGGAATGATTCTAAGTACAATGAGGGATGCAGGTATCCATCAGTAAATATTAATTGAATGCCTTTTATGTGCTTAGCTGTATGATAAAACCAGAGAGGTTAAAAAGTCAAAGTTTCTGACTTTCAGATAAAGAGGAGGAAAAGGAATACTATTTCTTAGTCTGTTTGTGGCTCTGTCAGTCGCTTGGGTAGATGGTTTACACATGTCTGATTCAATCTTCACAACACTCTGGAGTACCACTGTCCCCATTTTACAAATGAGAAAACGGAGTCTCAAAGAAGTTAAGTAACTTTCAGCGAGGTCATACATTTAGTGAGTGGTGGTGCTAGAATTTGAACCCAGATCTGCTCACTCCAAAGCCATCCCCTTCCAGCCCCCACACCCAACAGGAGTTTAAAAAATTATACTCCAGTTGGTGGGATAAACCACAGGTTTCATTTCCTGTCTGAAGAGAACAGGTACCACCAGATGCCCTGTGTTATCAATGCTAAACCGTTGGTGCCAATTTAAGGAGGGAGAGATGGATTTGGGCAGAAGGATTCCAGGAAGACTTCACGAAGAATGAGATCTGAGTTAAGCCTCAAGGGAATGAGTGTCCCGTAGGTAGGAGAGGGGAGGGGAGGCCAGGGGACTCCTACTTTAAAGTATGAAAGTACGAGAGTCAGTTGCAGATTGAAGACAGTGGCTGCACTGGCTGCAGGAAGAGATTTCTCCTTTGGAGAAGGAAGGTTGAGAAAGCACATTTGTGCCAGGGGGTATCTGAATGCCCAGTTAAAGCATTTGGGGCTTTTCCCGGTGGGTCGGGGAGAGTGATGAGCGGATACCTAGGAGAGATGATGGTCCGCCAGAAGTTTAAAATTTTGCTCCAGGATTCCTGATGACCTGTAGCTTCTGCCAAGCACTTCTCTCCTGGGATCCTCTCCAGAATGTTGTTTTCTTCATTACCAGGTGACCTTGAGTATCTTTGAGCTGGCATCCGCCGCAGGAGTGGGCTGTGACATTGACCCAGCCCTGGTGGCTGCCATTGCCAATCTGAAAGCTGGTAAGATGGGGCCAAGGGAACAGTGGGCTTGGGCCCTGCTTTGGGGTGGGAAAATGTCAGTGTCAGAAAAGCTTTTTTGGGGATTGTGAATTTGGAGGACATAAGCTGCAAGCTAAGGAAAGACTTAAAATGTAGTCAGTCCCTGACCCCCAGAGAATACACGGGGAGTTTAGATTTCTAGTCAGCTTCCAGCCGGTTGATTGTAAATCAGCTAAAAAGTATGAAGTGAGCGTCTATTTGATACTTAGCGAGCGCTCAAAGGAACGCATAATCCGGCCCGGGGAGTAAAATGAATGCCAATGACACAATGGCGAACAGCATACAATAGCATATGATTTCACCCCGAGCTGGCTCGCATCTGGGCTCCCCAGCAAGGTCTTGTGCTGCCCCTCCCTTCTCACCCCGCTCCCCAGGGATCCGCTTCTTCCTCCTCACACACCTGCGTCTCTGGCACCGCATCTCACATTTCCTCTGGCGAGCACGTTGGTGCTCACACACTCACAGCAGGATGGCGCGGAGGGGCTGTTGTTAGGCCTTTTCCAAATTGCCAGACTTGCCCTCCGTCTTCGCTCTTGGTGTGGGTGAGACCACGTTCTCGCCGTCCTGCCTCTGCGCCCCAAAAGGCAGCTGATGGAGGGTGGGTCCTCGGACCGCGTGTCAGCCCCTCACTCAGAGTCCTGCTGCGTGTCCGGAGGAGGCCTCCAGGACGTGGGCGCCGCGCTCTAAGTGGACACATGTCTGCCCGCCCCGACAGCTGCTCACAGGGCTTGGTGGAGCGTTTCTCAGACCCCTTCTCTCGGGAGCCTCCGGCGCTTCTGGGAAAGACTGTGAAGCCCCCTGCAGAAGACAAGGCCTGTCTGCTGGGGGCCTTCACGCGCCCTCTTTTCTGTGCTGCTCCCCCGCCAGATTCATCGTCCCGCGAGGAAGACTACAAGGTGGCCTGTCTGCTCCTGGTCTTCGTCGCTGTTTCCCTCCCACTCCTCGCCACTGACCCGTCTTCCTTCTACAGCATAGAGAGGGATGGTAAGTGAGGAGTAAGTTTGGGGGGCCTGGGCTATTTGGGTTCATGTCTTGGGGTGGGCACGTGGGGCAGAGACGTTTATCTGGAAGATGCAGACTTCTGATTCAGGCGCAAAGTTCTGTTTCAAAAAGCCCTTGAGAAGAAACGACCCATGAAATTCCATTTCAGTGAAATCGCGTAGGAATAGCCTTCCCCGAGTCCCCCAATACCTCCTAGTCCTGTTGGTGTCAAGTAGGGGTGGTCCAGCCTTGAAAAAAGAGAAAGTAGCATCAGCGGGTGGCTTGGGATGACTCACGCTGTCATTTCTGTCGGTCCCCTCTCCCAACTCCGACGATAACCCAGGTCACAACAACAATATTCACTGCCTGACCAAAGCCATCATCCAAGTGTCCGCCGCCCTCTTCACGCTCTACAACAAGAACATCGAAACTCATCTTAAGGAATTTCTGCTGGTGAGTGGGACTCGGCGATCAGGCATGGAAGGCTGCAAAATCTAGTGGAAACTTGTTTGATCTTAGTCCAGACACAGTTGTTGCTGAACCGGCCCTGGGGTCTAAACTCCCAGGAAATGTGAGAGGCAGGAGTCTCTTCTAAATTCCCTAATAGTTGCTATCGCAGCCTCTGCCTGAGTGCACGGAGAGAGCATGGGACTAAATGTCAACAAATCTAGTTCCTGATCTAGACCTAGGAAGTTGTGTGACCTCCAAAGAGCCAAACTTTTGGGGCCTCAGTTTTCCCATTTATGAAATTGGGAGATTCAGTGGAACTCATTATTCACTTCTGTGGTGTGCATTACAGTGCCTCAGGAACTCAGGCGGTCTCAGCCTTACACCAGGCCTACTAAATTAGAATATCCTAGGGTGAGTCCAGGTCTATGTTTTTAATAAGCTCTCTAATGAGCTCTAATACGCTCTCTTTTAATAAGATCTCTAATAAGATCTGTGGCAGGAGGAAGTGGGAGAGACACTGCCCTTTCCAACTCTAGCACTGGCAAAAAGCCAAACTTTGTTGAAGCTCTCAAACTTTAGTGTATTCCAGAATCACCTGGAGGATTTCTGATTCAGTAGTTGTTTAGCGCTGGGACTGAATAATTGCAACCCGAGCCTGTTCTGGGGTGACATTCATGCTGCTCATCCTGGGATCTCACTTTGATGACCACTGGTCTAGATTTTTAGGGACTGGAATTTATAACCAGGCAGCTGACTCTACCAGTGGATACATCCAATTTTTTGAAAAAAAAAAAAAAAAAAAAATTAAAAAATTGTTTTTAGCCAAGTTTTGACTCCTGGTAAATATCACCATTGATCTTAGTTTTACCTCTGGAAAAAACACAGAATAAGTCATCTTGTTCCATTGTTGAAAGAGGCCCCAGAGTTTTCCATTCTAAATCTTCCATGGAGGAATCACATCCACACACTTGATACTTGGTCCATCATCCACTGCTCGCTGGCGCATTCTCAGCAGTAGAGAGCTTATCCCTTTGCAAAGCGTAGCCCTGACTTAAGAACCAGGACCACTTCTATTTCCCTTCAGGAAGACACACAGATCATATTATTCTCTCATCCATCAGCCCACTGTCCTGAGAAGTACATTCTGGGGTCCTGGAAACTGAGTTGGAGGGTCTCTAAACTGGGACAACCTGAGCATTTTAGATATAAAGAGGATTCACCCCACATCTCTGAGCTGGGATGAGAGGGAATCCCCGCTTCCCCTCTTTGTTTGCTAAATGCAAGTAAAAGCTGGGCCTGGAATATAATTAATCAGGTTTTTTTCCCTCTTCCTTTGATCTGTTGTGGGCCTGGAGGTGAAAGGAGAGGATACCATCTGGGAATTGACAGGAGGAGAATATCAAGAGCTCTGTGCCTGCATCAGAGGCCTCTGGTCTGGGGAGTTAGCTGTAAACAGCGTGATGACAGTGGCGTCTGGAGGAAAAGAGACAACTCTCCAGCCTGTGTAGCCTTTGTTCTAGGTCCTCTCCTCACCGGCGGCACCCTCCAGTTGTCTGCACTGACTGGTTTACAGGCCAGGCTTGTCTCTGAAACCTAGGGGAGTTGCCACTTTTCCACCCCAGTCTTCAGGAGCATGCCAGCACTTCCTAACAATTTCTCCTTGATCTTTTCTTAACTTCCTGTAGCCTGAGGCTGTCCTACTCTGACCTTCTGAAATCTGCTTCCTTACAAATTCTCCCCTCACAGGTGGCCTCTGTCAGCCTCCTGCAACTGGGCCAGGAGACTGACAGGCTCAAAACCAGAAATCGGGAATCCATTTCTCTGCTCATGCGCCTGGTATGTATCTGGTTTATGTTGGTTTGGGGGGAGGGGGGAGGGCCAGGGTCGAGGCAGACTCCTCTTTGGGGGTTTTGGATCGCAGGCATTGTCATCTCCCCAAAATATTAACTTAATGTTAAAACAAGAACTTAACTCTGCCTGGTCCTCGGTTCTAGTCCTCACATTCTGGCTTGCATTCCATTCTTGCCGCTAATCTCAGAGTGGAGTCTTCAAGGACTTCTCTGTGGGACGGATCCTTCCTGACCCCTAGCTCCAGGCCCCTATTCCTGCGAAGTCCTTGGCCTGGGCCTGGGAACCATGTCTGCTTTCCTAACTCTCTGTGAAGTCCTTGTTTGGTTTACTTAATCATGTCCACCACTGTATTTCCTGTCCTTTTTTTTTTTTTAAGATTTATTTTATTTATACAAGAGCTGGGGTACAGTCCAGCTGCGTGGGAGGGTGAGAGGAGTCACCAGAGAAAGAGTGGGGAACAGAACAGGCAGACTGACGAAATACACTGCTGAGGGGAGCAGCGGGCGAGGCAGGAGAGGTCTGCTCACCATGGGAGTTGCTCCGAGGGCAGCTGGGATCGAACTGGCACTGTAGTGGCTGCAGACAGCTTCACAGCGCTGCGCTCAACCACCTGCGCTCAACCACCTGCGCCACCAGGGAGGCCCCTATTTCCTGTCCTTAATCATACTGTGAAGAGGGTCCTGAGTAGCACAAAGCTGAACTGGTGGAGGGGGAGGGGCTGAGGAGGGAGGGATTTTACCTGCAAAGCTATGGGGCTGGGAGCTGGAGGGCCCACGAAGGGGCCAGTTCTTGCTCTCCCTGCTTAATTGCCAAGCTGAGGGTTTTTCCCTCTTCTGGCAGAAAGTTCTGGTAACTCTGACTCAATTAACTTAAAAAAAAAAAATCTTTCCTCGACCCTGTTTACCTCTTCAACTCGCTTACTCTTTTGCTCTGAATGTCTGCTTTTCCCAGTTAGTATCACACTCAGAATGGATGGACGGGAGGGGCTCCGTTTCTGGCCCCTCCGCTGGCCTATGGGGAATGGCTGTTCCCATCTGGGGCCTGGGCCACCTCAAAGCCCACATAAACATTTTCCAGGTCTTCAGAATTCGCTGCTCAGCAGCTCCAGCCCACTTTAGGGCTTGTGCTGGGCTGCTTCTCCAAGTCCATTCTCCTGAGGCCCATGGTGTGGATGGCGGATCCACCTCTGGGGCCTCAGGAATATATGGCGGGAGTTTAGATGTACAATAGGAAGACTACATGCGTCCCAAATCCCTGAGAGTGGGCTGGGAAGAGAAGGGGCCTAGAGTGATTCTCTCCTTGAATCTGGTCATAGGGCAGAACTCTAAGAGGAGCCTAAGAATTCTTAATACCTGGCCTCCCATGAAATTCAAAAGGTGTGTTGTGAAGCTGAGAGACAGAACACAATGGCTGATTTGCTGTGCGGGCTTATGTTTGTTCTCATGGCCTAGGTCCGCAAACAATAGGGGCAAGCATGCCGAGGCATCTGCACCTGTTTCTCTAGATAGAAAAAGGCCTAGGTTGGTCTGATTAAGGGTTACAATGGAGAAGAGAACAGACATGAGGCCGTGTGTTGGGTGTAGCGAGGGGTGAGAGAGCAGGGTGAGAGAGCAGAGTGTAGGCTGATGCTGGTGGTGAGCTAAGTGGAGCCGTCTTTGATGGTGTGTTACCTTTCTGAGATTTGATTCTTTTTTTTTTTAAAGATTGATTTATTCATGGGCCTCCCCTGGTGGCGCAGGCAGTTGAGTGCAGCGCTGTGAAGCTGTCTGCAGCCTCTGCAGTGACGGTTCAATCCCTGGCTGGCCGGAGAGGGTCCCACATGGCATGACAGACCTCTCCTGTCTTGCCCGCTGCTCCCCTCAGCAGTGTATTTCGTCAGTCTGCCTGTTCTGTTCCCCGCTCTGTCTCTGGTGAATCCTCTCACCCTCCCGTGCCTCTGGCCTGTGCCCTGGGTCTTGTATAAATAAATAAATCTTTAAAAAAAAAAAAAGATTTATTCATACAAGAACTGGGGTACAGGCCAGAGGTGTGGGAGGGTGAGAGGACTCACCAGAGACAGAATGGGGAACAGAACAGGCAGACTAACTGAAATACACTGCTGAGGGGAGCAGCAGGCAAGACAGGAGAGGTCTGCCATGCCGTGTGGGTATCTCGCCAGCTGGCCAGGAATCGAACCTGCACTGCAGAGGCTGCAGATAGCTTCACAGCGCTGCACTCAACTGCCTGTGCCACCAGGGGAGGCCCCTGAAATTGATTCTTTATCCATAAAAGTGGGCAATCACCCTTACACTGTCTCATGCTAGGACTCACGAGGTCATAGATGTGAATGTGCCTAGTACATAGTAGATGCTCAACAAATATTAGCCCCAACTCTCTGCTGCTCACTCTAGCTCCTGGATGATTGAGGCAGGACTCTGCATCTCCCCTGGCACTGTTCACCTCTGTGAGATTGGAGGTGATTCTTTATTGCTGCCTCACCCCGCCGCCCCCTCTGGCTCCCCCCCCCCACACTGCCCCAAAGTGTGGGAAAAATCACTGTCCCCGTGACTTCTCCATGAGGCCTGTGGAGTGATAGGAACAGAACCAGGACCAGGTGCTTTTTGCTGGAGGGGGAGACAGAGGGAATAACTGCTGAAAAGCAATTTAAATGCAAATGTTTCCACAGAGAAATTGGAAATGACTGAAGGGGAAGGAGCTGTATTCTGAGTTAAGAGGCTACTCATGTAGCCCCACATCCTGGCTAGGCACTTCTCCCCCTGGGGTCTTTCTGTGTTGGCTGTTGGGGGTGGGCACTCGGGGGAGGAGATGGCTCTCCAAAACTTACGGGATCCTAGACGTCAGAGCCAGGCCAGCTCCTGGCAGTCAGACCAGTCCTTACAATTTACAGGCAAGGAAATGCAGAGAGGGTGCGAAAGCTGACAGCAGAGTCTGGCCCAAAACACATGGGCTGATACATTAAGAACCAGAACCCAAGATTCTTGGCTTTCTCTCAGGGCTGTTTCCACTATGGGAACGTCCTCCAGTGAGGAGCTGTTATTTTCTGTGTCTAGTGGAGCAAAGGATTGGAGGTCTTGCGCCAGTGCATTCATCTTGAAGCCATCACTCATTTCCCTGTACCCGAGGGGAGTAGCCTGGAAAAGAGATTTTATCTCTTTCCTGCCTTCAGGTTTGAAAGTCTTGCCTGGCAAGACATTCTTTCTGTTATGGACCCAAGATTAGAGCTGTCATTTCCAGGGGAGACTTCCGACCCGCCAGCCTGCAGCGCCTGCCCTCCTGAGCCCATTGTGTGTGTTGTGTGTGCATGTTGGAGAACAGCAGGCTCTTAGACGCTTTAAAATTTGAAAGGACTCAGGGAGAGAACCGTGTTATAATAGTTTTGGTAGATCCTCTTTTCTGACTGAATTTTCAGGACTTGAAACACCAGACACACTGGGGAGGGTCGGCCGCGTGACCCGCTGGAGCATGAGGGTCCTCCCTCCAGGGGGTGTTTTTCAGTACTGAAGGACACGTCCCCTGTGCCTTCCTCAGGCCTGGGGACCCTCTGTCCAGCGCTGGGCTGGGCTGGGCTGGGCTTGTGAATACGCCCCCCCCCCACCCCCAGCCCCACCCCCTCATTCTTATCCAGCATCTTGATCTATCTTTCTGCTTGGCTGTGGGGGCTGCTGGGATTACCACAGCACACAGGCTTCTAATTAAACTAATTAATCATGCCTGCTCCTTTATGCAGCATCGTTACTGCTCCCCAAGCTCTGTGCTGAGGGAGAGAGGAGACAGAGGAGACCAGGGGACCCGTGTGGATTTCAGGCCCCTTTCTCGGCCTGCAGCAGCAATTGTTTCCTTCTCTGCACAGTGTTGTCTCTGACACTTTTAGCCATCCCTACCTGCATCTGTGCTGCCCGCCCACAGATGATTTAGCATCCGGCATGAGCGAGAACGGGAGTTTTTCTGCCAACAGAGAAATAATTCTTCCCTGTCTTCTTCTGAGCCCTACACAGAACACCCAGGAGGGGCTTAGGGTCTGCTGAAATGGAGCGCAAGGGGCCACCTTGCTTTCCTGGAGCTGAACCCAGCGAGGGGGGACAGGGGAGTGTGACGTGGAGCCCTGCTCGCTTGTAACTCTGAGGAACCCGGGGACTGAATGAAGAACAGTGTCATGGAAGCAGGTCCTGCCTGACCTCAGCCCTCGGCCTCTTCTCTTCCAGGTGGTGGAGGAGTCATCCTTCCTGACCTTGGACATGCTGGAGTCCTGCTTCCCTTACGTCCTGCTCCGAAATGCCTATCGGGAGGTGTCCCGGGCCTTCTACCTGCAACGAATGCAAGCCAATACCCACTGATGGGGCCTCTGGATCTGCCTAAACCCAGGCCCTCCTGGACGCTGTGGCCATTTTCTCATGGGGTGGGGTCACTGGGGACAGGGTCGGGAGCCAGAGCGGATGACAAGCACACAGAGGAACAGTCCAGGCCTGAGAAATCATGGGGAAGTGGGGCGGGAGGTGGGGGGATGGAGGACAGCTTAGAAACAGGGAATTGGGGCCACGTGGGAATTCTTCACAATGAAAAAAAAAAAAGTGACTTAGAAGTCTGTTTTCTCCCCTCTGGTGGCCAGAGCGTGCACTGGGACTGGCATGGGTCTCTCCGACCTTCATCACTACTCGGGGCTGACGCTGGCGGCCAGAGATGATCTGTCATCACTTTAAACCGTAATGAGCTTACACCCCTCCCGCTGGGGCTGCGCTGTCTCCTCCACATTCATGAGCCCCCATCTCCTCTCCTCCTCCCGCCATGTGCTCAGTGAACGGTCAGCCTGCTCCTACTGTACCGTGGGAGCGACGGAACCCCTCTTTTCTTTCATGGGGGCTCCATTTAGGAGTCCCGGGGCCTCTGCCTCCAGCTCTGCGCCCCACAGGGGCAGTGAGGAGGGGCTCTGGAAAGACTGTCACTGGGCCTGGTTCCCCCCACCCGCTCCGTGCTCTCCCATCCCTGTGGGTTAGGAGGAAGTTCCTTTATTTCTTTCACCTTGACCTCACCTGCTTTTTCTTTGACATTACCACAGCCCAGGGACAGTCTAGGTGCAGTTAAAGTGACATCACAACTAACTGGCCCTGAGTCATGCTGGTTTCCCTTCCAAGCCATTTGGGGGTGCTCCCCCTGCTTCCTGGAGGGACTTATTTAAACCAGATCCCTTTGTCATCCTGGGTACCTCTTGCTCCAGGCAGGGATTTCTCTTCTAGATCTTAAATTTCATAGCGCTCATTAGGTTATAAGGCCCTGAAAGTGGGTATACTTGAGGGAGGTTCAAGCTGTTTCAACTTAGCCCTTTTCTGCACTAATTAGAATTTTCAAGTGTCACAAAGCCTGGGGCATTCAAGATAGCAGAAAACTGGGTTTAGTCAACTCCGTGGAGGGAACAGTGCCTTCCACCCATGGCTTCTGTGCACCTACTGCAGGGAGGACCAGAGCAACAGCTCATCCACGTCACCGGTCCGGAGTGGCTGGCATGGGCAAATGTAGTCAGCCGGCTGATTAATGAGGGTTAAGGCCGTACTTCCATAATGAAAGGGAAGCGAATTGGAAGGAAGTTGATTTTCAGCAAAACCATTTGGCCGACATTAAAGCTATGTGATAGTCGTCTTTGGATTTTGTGTGTCTGATCTTTATTTCTAGAGACCCAGGCAGAGTCAATCCTTTAACTTTGCGCCCATAATCAATGCACTAGTTTTTCTTAGCAACAACTGTCTGCTAGGATGGAAGCAATACAGGATTCCTGTATTTATTCCTCAGAGGCTGGCTTCCTTGCTATGGACAGGACTTTATATTCTAAGGAGAGATGCAGGGTCAGGTTTATTGAGGCTGAGGGCAGAGTTGATAGGGAAGAGAAGGTTGAGAAGTATCGGAACAACAACTCTTGAGACAGAAGACTTTTCCCTCTGCATGTGAGACCTTTTAGCCACTAGGAGGACAGCAAGTTGCTGGAGGGGAGAAGAGGGTAGACAGACTTATTTATTCTAAATGAAATTTATTGAGATAGTTAATCTATAAGCTCTTGTAAGAAATGACAGAGGGGGGCCTCCCTGGTAGCCTAGAGGGTTAGGTCTTAGCACCATCACCACTATGGCCTGAGTTCGATCCCCAGCCATGGATCTCCCCTGTCTCGCCTGCTGCTTCCCTCAGCAGTGGATTTCAGTAGATCCGCCTGTTCTGCTCCCTACTCTGTCTCTGGAGAATCCTCTCACCCCCTGCAACTCTGGCCTGTACCCCAGCTCTTCTACACACATTATCTAAACTGTCTAGAAGGCCCCTGTCTGCCTGTACCAGTCTCCCTCAGTGCTGTCATAACCATGGGGATGTTGACATAAGCCTCTGATCTTCGTCATGTCTCCCCAGTTTTACTTACCCTTGTTTCCCGGTGTGTGTGAATCTAGTCCTGTACTGCTTTGTCACAGGTAGGCACGAGCATTTGCCTCCGCTGTCCAGATGCCAAACAACCCCACTGCCACTGGATCCTCCGTAAAGCCACGCCCACTTCCCCCTCTCCTTCCATAACCTCTGGCGACACAAATCTGTTCTCCCTTTGCAAAATTTTGGAATTCATCAAAATGCAAACAAAAAGGTGACTATGTGAAGGTGAAGGGACAGAGTCACGGGAAACAACGCAGCATTTCAGGCCACGAGCTTCCTCGGCCAGCTGGGCTCTGACCCCTGACAGCGGGCCACACCATCAAGTCCGAACCACTTTCTGTTCTCAGGTCTCACTTTATTTAGACCTGAAAGGAAATGAGAGAGGACTATGGGAGAAATTCTGCCCCTGATTGTTTTGTCTTGCAGGCAGAGAATAGGTTCTAGCCTCAGCATTTTCATTAGCGCACTGTTTTCATTAAAATCTCCATTAACTTGTTTGCAGCAGTGAGAAGGAATTATCCCTCCCACCAGGCCCGGGGCGGGAGGCTCGCAGGAGCTCCCTTTCCTGTGGGCAGTGGAAACACTGCTTCCCTCCCGGTGGTGTTCAGGCCCGTGGGCAGATGAGGGCAGCCTCAAGGCACAGCCTCGCTGGGGCCCGTACCCTTCGGCACTCTGGGAGGAAGCGTGGTTTGATCATCAGGACCCAGGAGGGAGGGAAGTCCCAAGCAGGGACAAGACTTCCTTGGTCCTAGGTCCTCACTTTTTTTTTTTTCCCCGAAGATTTATTTTTATTTATTTTTACAAGCACTGGGTACAGTCAGAAGCGCAGGAAGGTGAGAGAATTCACCAGAGCCAGAGCGGGGAGCAGAACAGGCAGAAGGACCGAAGTACACTGCTGAGGGGAGCAGCGGGCGGCAGGAGAGGTCTGCGCGCCATGTGGGACCCTCCTCTGGTGGCCGGGGAGCAGCCGGGGATCAAACTGGTGCTGCAGAGGCTGCGGGCAGCTTTGCAACCCAGCACTCAACCGCTGCGCCACCAGGGAGGCCCACCTAGGTCCTTACTCTATCAGTTCTTCTCCAACAAAGTTTGAGAAGAAGCCGGCATGGCACATGGCTGAAATGCACTCGTGCGGTTGGGGGTGGGGGAAGTGTTCTTCCAGTCCCCCCACAGGGCCTCCCGCTCCTCTTAAGTACCTGTCATCAAAGGAGATGAAATGAGCCCCCCCTCAGCCCCCACACCTCAGTGAGTTGTCAAGTCTCCCTCCCACCTGAATAGGAAGCAGGAGCAGCAGGCCAGGGTGCAGGCTGAGGAAGTCAGAAGTTAACTTGAGCTGAGTTTGCAGCTCTGGAGAGATTGAGGAGCAGGCTTTTCTCTTGTCACTTTGGAAGGAGAGGCTTGTGAGGCCTCCCCTTTAAATAGCATTCCTGTAGGAGGCAGATCACATCCATCCGTCACCGCTGCCAAAGCATCATTTTTGGTCTCGATCATCAAACTCAAAGCTTGTTGGAAGAGATTGTGGGGTTAGGGGAGTGAGGAGCGGTGTGTCCAAGGGGCGAGGGGCAGTTCGAAGTTGAAAAGGGAGGCATGAGCTGGAGCAGAAGCAGCCTTCGGGGAGGTGGGAGCAGGGGCAAGAGGAAAAGACAGGGAGACAGGCGCCCTCTCTTGCTCCTATGAATGGAGCCGATGTACCGTGTTTTGAAACATCTCTTCAGAGACAGAGTAAGGCAGAAGTGGGGCTGGATCACAATGAGAGGAATGAGGTTGAAGTAAAAAAAAAAAAAAAAAAAAAAAAAAACAACAAAAAAACCAGGGCAGGTGACTGAAGAAAAAGAAAGCCGCAGGGTCGCACTAGAAAAGAGCAGGAGGCTTGACCACGGTCCGTTTCTCCCCCTGGACCAGGATTTTTCTGGGTCTTGTTTCCCCCTGTTAAGTGAAGGGGGTTAGACTGGATGGTCTCTAAAGTCTCTTTCATAACTTTTTCTTTCTTTTGATGAATTTTCCTTTTCTTAAAATAAATTAGGAACCGGGGACTGGGGAAGAGGAAGGCAGGCCACGGACAGGCCGCTGGGCGGGCGAGCACTGTGTGGAGACCCTCTGGGAAGAAGTCTCCTGTCTCCCTCCTCTTCTAGTTAAAATACCTACCTAATTTGGGAAGTTCTCTAGCTCTCATTCTAATTTCCTAATTAGAGCTCTTTTTGCTCTAATCTTAATTTGCAATTCTTTTGTCCTTTCCAGCCCATTCTTTTTCAGTTGATAAGGTAGGGGATTGCTCTCAAGTTTGGAGAGCTGGTTGTGTAGGAGTCTGTCACAGTGCTCAGAGCAGCTCTGTCTCGGCTGGGGCTGTTCCTTCGGCGAGAGGGGAAGGAGGTTGGGTGCTGAGGAAGATGGGCCAGAGGGGCAGGCCCCAGGTTTTCTCCTTCATCTCTGACTCTGCCCTCTCCTCCTGCCTCTGCGCTTCCTGGACCTGCTTCTGCTGATAAATCCATCCTGCCTGAAGGCCTGACCTGGCCTGCTTGGGAGTTTTTGCCCTGCCCCTTCATTGTTGCCTAGGATGGGGGAGCCCCCACCTGGTATTTAGAATGGAGCTGATCCCTCCTCCTGAACACCCCCCACTCCTCTCCCCTGCCTTCCTCAGAGTTCTTGAAATTAAAGCCCACATTCTGGGGTCCTGGATTAGTAACCTGTTTTGGATCCTGGAGTTAGTGAATAACACGTCTCCACTTTCTGTTGAAATAGGGCTTCCCAGTGCCAAAGCAGGTGGTCGTCCGGGAGCAGAACGCTCCTCAGGAGAGAGGAGGACCGGCAGGAGTCCCAGGGAGGACTCATTTGAATGGAGGAGGCTTTGCCCCTTTGCAGTCTTGAGTTCAGTGCCAGGTCATTGGTTCTACAAAGGTTTCAGTGCGAGGCTGGTTTGTGCCGGGCTCTTAACCATTAGATTTCATTCTGAAGACAGAGTAAGAGGCAATAAACTGGGACAGGGGGGTCAAGATGTGATATCAGGAGTGATTTCCTGACCCTTGCGGCGCTGCAGAGAGTTCCAGAGAGGTGCCCTGCCTGTTCCGGTGGATGCGCCTAGAAACTCAGGCTTGGGGAGAGACTTGTCGGCAAGACCCAGGGCGGGCGCCGGAGGAGAGCGGTGGGATTCAGGGCAGACCCCAACTTCTCCCTTCAAAGGGGGCCGCACGTGTGAGGGTCTGGGGCTGGATTCCAAGGGGGGGGTTCACCCGGGTCCCCCAGACAGATGGAGGACTCTCCTCTCCCCTCCCCTCGAACATGGGACGCACAGGCGGCTGGGCACACGCGGACACAGCCAAGCAGGCACAGACACAGGCGACTCACCGAGGGCACCCACACAGCCGCCCCCGGCGCGGACCTGCCCGCCCCAGCGCCGCGCGCCCCCCGCGCGCCCCCCGCGCGCCCCGCGCCCCCCCGCGCGCCCCGCGCCCCCGCGCCCCCCGCGCGCCCCCCGCGCGCCCCCCGCGCCCCCCGCGCCCCCCGCGCGCCCCCGCGCCCCCCGCCCCCCCGCGCCCCCCGCGCCCCCCGCGCCCCCGCGCGCCCCCGCGCGCCCCCGCGCCCCCGCGCGCCCCGCGCCCCCCGCGCCCCCGCGCGCGCCCCCCGCGCCGGGCACACGCAGCGGCCCCGGGCGCCTGTGCGTGCGCTCGCCCCTGGGCGCTCGCGCGTCCGTGCGCCCCCGGCTTCCAATCGTTCCTCCGGGAGGGGGAGGAGCGGCCGCCGGGAGCGAGACGGGCGCGCGGGCAGGGGAGGGAGGAGGGGCGCGGGGAGGACCCGGCCGCGGGAGGAGGAGGCTGGCGAGGAGGCGGCCCCGGCGGCGGCGCGGAGAGCCGGGACCCGGAGCCCAGAGCGCGGCCGGGCAGCGCGAGAGCAGGCGCCGCAGGAGCCGCAGCTCTGCCCGCCCGGCCGCCCGAGACCCACCGGCCTGGCTGGCGCGCGCCGGCTGCAGGTGCCAAGGGGCTGGCGGCGGGCGAGGGCGCCGCCGGGTCCGGGGCTGAGCCGCGCTGCTGTCTTCTCCCCCTTGCAGACGGGCGCCGAGCATGGAGCTGTCCCCCCGCAGCCCTCCCGAGATGCTGGAGTCCGATTGCCCGTCCCCCCTGGAGCTGAAGTCAGCCCCCAGCAAGAAGATGTGGATTAAGCTTCGGTCTCTGTGAGTCCCTGGCCCGGGGGGGGGGGGGGGGGGTAGGTAGCCTGCAAAGTGGGGGGGGGGGGAG